CTAAACTGCTAACATAAGCAAGACAGGAAAGGACAAAAACAAAAGATAAATAATAAAAAGAACGACAGATAAAGAGGAAATTAAAAGACTTATGAGTCTTTTCAAATAAATGTGAAAAGAAATGTGAATTTAAAAGACTTACGAGTCTTTGTAAATAAATGTGAATTTAAAAGACTTATGAGTGTTTGCAAATAAATGTGAAAATCTGACTGAATTAGACAATAGTCTAAGAAAATATAATTTTCCAAATCACTCCAAAAGAGATAGAAATTCTAAACAGATAACTACTGTAGATGAGAATATAAGAACATTATCTAACAGCTACCACCTGAAATAGCACCAGGTCCACATAATTTTATAGGGGGATTTTGTGAAAACTTTAAGGCATACATTATTTTGATTTCATGTAAACTGTCCCACAGAATACAAAAAGAAGGAATGATCCCGTTTGTGTTTCTAAAGCAAACATAACATTGGTAGCAAAACAATTATTACCCCAAAAAAGAACACTGCAGAACCATGTCTCTTACAAAGATCAATGCGCATATCTAAACCAACCATTAGTAAACAGAATCTAGTACCACATTAAAAAACAGTTTAACATGACAAGCGGCATTTATTCCAGGAAAATATGGATAAAATTGAATCTGTTAATATGATTTATCACATTAATATACCCATGGAAGAAAAAATATTTTGTTATCCTCATAGGTGACAAAGGGGTATTGCTAAATTCAGTATCCAACTTGTACTTTAGAAAAATAAAAATTTTTTAGGGTTTTTAAATTATACTTTAAGTTCTAGGGTACATGTGCACAACGTGTAGGTTTGTTACATATGTATACATGTGCCATGTTGGTGTGCTGCACCCGTTAACTCATCATTTACAATAGGTATATCTCCTAATGCTATCCCTCCCCACCTCTCCCCACTCCACGACATGCCCCGGTGTGTGATGTTCCCCACCCTGTGTTCAAGTGTTCTCATTGTTCAATTCCCACCTATGGTGTTGATCACAGGAGTGTTGCTTTTCGTTCTTGCGGGACAGTTGGCTCGAGAATGATGGTTTCCCAGGCCTTCATTCCATGTCGTATAGCAAAGGACCATGAACTCATCCTATTTTACGGCGCATATATTCCATGGATGGTATATGTGCACATTTTCTTAATCCGCGGTTCTATCCATTGATGGACATCTGGGTTGGTTCCCAGCTTTGCTATTGTGATATGGCCACATAAATCATACATGTGCATGTTGGTTTACAGGCAGCATGATTTTAGTCAATCCTTTGGTATATGCCAGTAATGGGATGGGACTGGGGTCAATGGTATTTCTAGTTCTAAGGATCTTAAGGAATCCACCACACTTCTTCCACAATGGTGAATCTGGTTTACAGTCCCACCAACAGGTAAAAGCATCCTTTTCTCCCATCTCTCCAGACCTGTTGTTCCTGGACTTTTTTTTGATAATCCACCATTCTAACTGGTTATGAGATGGTGTGCTTATTGTGTTTTGATTTTTCATTTCTCGACGCCAGTGATGATGGGGCATTTTTTATGTGTCTTGTTGGCTGCGGATAAATGTCTTCTTCTGAGGAATGTCTGTTTCATATCCTTTGCCCCACTTTTGATTGGGGTTGATTTCCTATCTGTAAATTGCTTAAGTCTTCATAGAATTTGTGGATATTAAGCCCCTTGTCAGATTGGTGAATTGTAAATTTTCTCCATCCTGTAGGTTGCCTGGTTCACCATCATGTTATCGCAAACAGGGACAATTTGACTTTCCTCTTTTCCTAATGATACCCCTTTAATTTCTTTCTCTTGCCTGGATGCCCCTGGCCAGAACTTCCAAACACTAGTGAATAAGCAGTGATGTGCGAGAGGGGCATCCCCGTCTTGTGCCAAGTTTTTCAAGGGATGTTTTGGGTCCATTTTCCAGTATATATTGGGGCTGTGGTTTGTTCATAAATAGCTCCTATTATTTTGAGAATGTCTCCTCAATACCTTATTTATGAGGTTTTTAGCATGAAGGGCATGTGGAATTTTGTCGAAGGCCTTTTCGGCATCATCTTATGAGATCAATCATGTGGTTTGGTCTTTGGTTCTGTTATAGGATGGATTATGTTATTGATTTGATATGTGAACTAGCCTTGCATCCCAGGGATGAAGGCCCACTTGTCATGGTAGGATAAGCTTTTTTGATGTGCTGGCTGGAAGGTTCAGTTGCCAGTATTTTATTTGAGGATTTTTGGCATCGACATTCATCAGGGATATTGTCGTAAATTCTCTTTTTTGGTTGTCTCTCTGCCAGGCTTTGGTATCAGGATGATATATTGGCGTCATAAAAAGAATTTAGGGAGGATTCCCTCTTTTTCTGTTGGATGGAATAGTTTCAGAAGGAATGGTACCAGCTCTTCTTTGTACCTCTGGTAGAATTCGCTGTGAAAATCCATCTGGTCCTGGACTTTTTTTGGTTGGTAGGCTATTAATTATTGCCTCAATTTCAGAACCTGTTATTGGTCTATTCAGGGATTCAACTGTATTCTGGTTTAGTCTTGGAGCATGTATGTGTCCAAGAATTTATCCATTTCTACTAGTTTTCTAGTTTATTTGTGTAGAGGTGTTTATAGTATCTCTGATGTAGTTTGTATTCTGTGGGATTGGTGGTGATATTTCCCCTTTATCATTTTTATTGCATTATTTGATTCTTCTCTCTTTTCTTCTTTATAGTCTTGCTAGCAGTCTATCAATTTTGTTGATCTTTTCAAAAAACAGTGCCTGGATTCATTGATTTTTTGAAAAGGTTTTTCGTGTCTCTATCTCCTTCAGTTCTGCTCTGATCTTAGTTATTCTTGCTTTCTGCTAGCTTTTAATGTGTTTGCTCTTGCTTCTCTAGTTATTTTAATTGTGATGTTAGGGTGTCAATTTTAAATCTTTCCTGTTTTCTCTTCTGGGCATTTAGTGCTATAAATTTCCCTCTACACACTGTTTTAAATGTGTCCCAGAGATTCTGGTATGTTGTGTCTTTGTTCTCATTGGTTTCAAAGAACCCCCAAAATTAATTGCATACCTAGGAATAATTTTTTTAAATGAGCAACGTATTTATGCAGAAAACCTGAAAATGCTTCTGAGAGGCACAAAATATGACTTAAGTAGCTTGAAATACATGCTATGTTCTTGGATAAGAAGATTCAACATCATAAGTATATTAACACTTCTTAAGATAATCAATAAATTTAACATCATTCTAACAAAAAAATCATGAGGAAAGTTTAAGCAAAACAGTTCAGAGAAATCTACAGAAAAAAAAAAGAGCACTGAAAAACAATTAGTCTTACCAAATGTTAGAGCCTTGTCAATGTCAATAAATTTCTTTTTATTGAGATGAAGTCTCATTCTGTCTCCCAGTCTGGAGTGCAGTGGTGAGATCTCAGCTCACTGCAACCTCTGCCTCCGAGGTTCAAGCAAATCTCCTGCCTCAGCCCCCCAAGTAGCTGGGACTATAGGCATCCACCACCACACCTGGCTAATTTTTATGTTTGTAGTAGAGACAGGGTTTCACCATGCTGGCCAGCCTAGTCTCAAACTCTTGACCTCACGTGATCCTCCCACCTCCCAAAGTGCTGGGATTACAGCCATCAGCCACCACACCCAGCCTTTGTCAATAATTAAAACTGTATGATACTAACATATGCATAGAAAGAAAACACATCAAAAATTCAGTAATAGATCTAGTACACAAGAGTTTGGCATGCTATAAAGGTAACATCCCAAATCAGTGAAAAAGAGGACAAGCTTTTAAATAAATGGGTAAAGTCAGTAATCACCTGGAGAAAAATATAGTTGGACTTATGCTTTACCTTCTACACCAGGATAAAATCCAAATGAATCTAAGATTTAAACGTAAAACATTAACTCTATAATGATGGTGTGCTTTATATCTAAGACATAAAACTCAGTGATGGAGGAAAAAGTGATAAACTCAACTACATGAAAATAAAATATTTTTCATGGCAAAAATACCAGAAAAAATAATCATGGGACAAATGACAAATTGTGAAAAGAATACATAAAACTCATTTCACAGACAAATACTTATTTTCCCCAATATAGAAATATACAAATTAATTTTTGTAATAGACAACCCAATAGAAAAAAATGGGTAAAAAAATTAGGAACCAGAAACTTACAGAAACATAATTAGCTCTCAAACATATGAAAATATGTTGAACCTCACTTATAATAAGAGAAGTTAAAATTAGAATGAATATTGATGTACCCATTTTTCATATAATCTCACCAAAGATCATAAACTTTGATAAAACATTGTGTTGGTGAGAGTGGGGGAAATCAGACATTCTTACACTTGTTTGTGTCAGGGTAAATTGTTATAAATTCTAAAGAAGGCAATTTGCAATATTTATCAAATTACAAATGCATATATCTTTTGATTTAGCAATTCTATTTCTAGAAACAGATTCTATATTCTCTAACATGTGAAATAACATATGTATCCAGTTTTGGGGGTTTTTTTGCTGCATTTTCTTTACTAGAAAAATATTGAAAATCCTAAATGTCTTCATATAAATTTTGGAACATCAATATAACAAAATACCATTCAGCCATTAAAAAGAATGAGAAAGTACTTTTTTAAAACTAATCTAGAAAGATCTCCAAGATATATTGTTGAGAAAGTTGAAGAACATTATGTAAATTATGCCACCACCTATGTAATTATATTTCTCCACTTTGTAAAAGGTGGGGAAATATGATTCCTTGTATCTGCATAAATATCTCAAGAATAAAAAACAGGAGGAACTCTGTGGTTGGTTCAGTAGTATAAGAAGGAATTCTGAATCATATTAATCTATTTTTTAATGTTATGCATTAAGTATCTCATCTGGTCTTAGTGGAAATCAGGACACTAAAAGTTTACCATTTTCTTAAAACCACATATAATTTGAAATTGAAACTAAGAATAAAATTTTATCACTTCCACACCTGAGTTATTTCAGTCTTCTGATCCAGGTCATCAGGTACTTCACCTGACAAAACAAAAATTGAGAATTAAAAGTGAAATTGAAATTAGATTAGACATTTAGTTTTAAGGAATACACTTATTATTTATTATATCACCATTATGCAGAAATTGTCCCCCTTCTGTGTTGATCTCACTGGGAGCTACAGACTGGAGCTGTTCCTATTTGGTCATCTTGCCCTGGTCCCTCCAGCTGTGTGATTCTGTTCTGTAGTGCTCAATAGAACCATGTCCTAGGGTGGGCAAGTTCTTAATTATCTGATTAAGCTAATATGTACTTATTACAGGTATAATGGAAAATAGGGGACATTTACAATAGAAAATAAAAATTACTTCCCTTCATCCAGAAATAACTAGTATTTGTAGAATGATTTTTATTGTGTATTTTTATATACACATATATTCACCACATTGTTCATAAACTTCTTGTTCTTACAGTTTTTAACCATGAGAATTTCTCCTATCAATCAAATTGTTTTGAATCTTATTTTGAATCGTTGTATAGTAGCCCATGATTATAGATGTAGCATAATTTACTTTCACTTTCCCTATTGTGAGGCATTAATTTTTTTTTAATTTTTACTTGGCATTGGAAAGTTTCATACTATTTGCCAGGATTATATTTCTTATAGTAATAATGAGTGACTTAAAGAAACTATCATCCGAGTAAACAGACAACCTACAGAATGAGAGAAAAATTTTGTGATCTATCCATCTGACAAAGGTCTGATATCCAGAATCTACAAGGAACTTAAACAAATTTACAAGAGAAAAAACCTGTCAACTCCCATGTGGGCAAAGGACATGAACAGACACTTCTCAAAAGAAGAATAAATGAGGACAACAAAAATATGAAAAAAAGCTTAACATTATTGATCATTGGAGAGAAAGGCAAATCAAAGCCACAATGAGATACCATCTCATGCCAGTCAGAATGGCTATTATTAAAAGGTCAAAAAATAACAGGTGCTGGCAAGGTTGTGGAGAAAAAGAACCTCTTACAGTGGGACTGTAAATTAGTTCAACCATTGTGGAAGACAGTGTGACGATTCCTCAAGGACCTAAAGGCAGAAATAACATTTGATCCAGCATTCCAATTACTGGGTATACACCAAAGGAATATAAATCATTCTATTATAAAGATACACACACACATATGTTCATTGCGACACTATTCACAATAGAAAAGACATGGAATTAACCTCATGCCCAACATTGATAGACTGGATAAAGAAAATGTGGTACATATACACCATGGAATACTGTGCAACCATAAAAAGGAATGAGGTCATATCCTTTGCCGGGACATGGATGGAGCTGGAATCCATTATCCTCAGCAAACTAACATGGGAACAGAAAACCAAACACTGCATGTTCTCACTTGTAAGTGGGAGCTGAATGATGAGAATACGTGGACACACGGGGGATACAGCACACACTGGGGCCTGTTGATGTGGGAAGGGAGAGCATCAGGAAGAACAGCTAAAAGAACAGCTAGACTTAATACCTACGTGATGGGATGATCTGTCCAGGAAAGTACCATGGCACACTTTTACCTATGTAACAAACCTGCACATCCTGAACATGTACCCCTGAACTTAAAAGTTGGAAAAAAAAAAAAAAAAGAGTTACTTGAATCAACCTGTGCCAGGCTTTTAAATTATCACTGATCCTTATAATAAACTTGCAAAGTGAAGATTTTCATTTCCGTTTTATGGATAAGAGAACCAAAGAATGGTTCAAAATGACATGACTAAATGAAAACTAAAGTAAGCATAGTGGGTTTTTTAATCTAAGTTCTCTCTCTCTTCGCTATACAATGCTATGAGCACCAACCACTCGACAAGCAGTTCTATTTGTTGTTTCTCTGGGGCATTGGTCTGAATCTGGAATGCTGTATGGCTGTGGTGTGGGAGGAGTCCCTGAGGTAGTGAATGAACCTGGCCTAGCACCTGGAATTTAAATCTCAAATTCACTGTGCTATGCTCTAGTGGTTACCCTGTACGCAGTCACTCTAATAAAATGACGGAAAAAAGAAAAAGAAAAAAAAATGTGTCTTTGCGTTAAATGGTCTGCCTCCTCCCTACAATAAAAGCCCATTTACAGGGCTGGTGATGAAAGTGAAGAAAAATTGCCTAAGAAGATAATATTTCTTACCCAGGAAATAGAAGATTTAGATAAATTACAGTCGAATGTTACATTTTCCCAAGGCCTGCATCTGTGATATTAATATGCCCAACTTGTATGAAAACAAGGAAAAATGATTCTGAAACATTCTGTGAGTGCTTTAGTAAGAATTTATTTTAATGGTATTATAAATGCACTATAAATTATAATAGCATATAAAATAAGAGTCTAAAGGATCACTTAAATCTTTAAGTTACTTTCCTGCATTTCATGAGAGGAATTACAAGCTATCATGGGATTTGTGAATTTGGAGATTTGCAAAGATCTTGTGAAAGTCAAGGGCCTTCTCCAAAAATAGAACCTTTATCATAAAATATGATAAACATTTCTACAAATGAATCTTGGTCCACATGTCTGATAATTCCTTTAAGATTGCTTCCTAGAAGTGATTGTACTATTAGATCAATATGTGGCAAAAAAAAAAATCCAAAAAGTCCCCAAAATTCAAAATATTTTCAATATTCTGATTAAAAGTTTCCTATTTAAACTACTTTTTGGGTTAAAGCAATATTTTTAGAAAGCCTCTGAAAATAATGTCCAATAGGAACTTTTTAAAGAAAGGTTCTGTTATTTACCAGTCATTATGATACTGATATAAGATTAATATATTGATATAACAATACCACTGTGGGCTTGTGGAAGTCCAGGTTGGAAATCATCTTGTCTACTACCAGAGATGGCAGGAGAGGAAACTGGGAGTGGAAGACAGCTGAGGAAACCATAATGACCATGGGTTATATGGGTGTGGGTAACCAAAGGAGGTCAAAAAGTAGGAGATTACAAACATCAACTTCTTCTATTTCTTAGTTTTGTTCAGGGTCAAATCTTGCTTTAAAATACTTGGCAATGTATGAAGTTTCCCATCAGGGGACAAAGGAAAAGTTTTCCCTCTTTCTTGGATTTCCTTTACTTCCTGAGATTTCTGTATTGAGAAACTCACACTCAGAGTCCCGTGAAGGGACACTGGGAGACCAGAGGAATCCACAGAAAGTTCCACAGAGCCTCTGTGCTCTCAGCAGAAGTAACAATATGCAAATCGGCCAGCGTTGGGGTGACAAGGGTCACATATAAATAGAATGCTTGAAAAGCCAAATATAGAGCATGTATTCTGAGAAAAGCACACAAACAAGAAGTGGGTATTAATGAAACAGCTTATCTGGCCATTCAAGGCAGCCCTGTAAATGAATAGTAGATTCCCAAAACCATGTGCACTTACATAAACCCCAGAGCTGATAGGAATCAAGTATAAAATGCTGCCCTTACTGAGATAACTCAGATAATCAAGATCCACCGGCTTGAAATTCTCACTGCCAGCACAGCAGTCTGAAGTTGACCTGGTATGCTCAAGCTTGGTGGGGGGAGGGGCATCCACCATTATGGAGACTTGAGTAGGCAGTTTTCCCCTCACAGTGTAAACAAAGCCGGGATGTTTGAACCAGGCAGAGCCCACCACAGCTCAGCAAAGCCTCTGTAGCCAGACTGCCTTTCTAGATTCCTCCTCTCTGGGCAGGGCATCTCTGAAAGAAAGGCAGCAGCCCCAGTCAGGGGATTATAGATAAAACTCCCATCTCCCTGGGACAGAGCACCTGGGGGAAGGGGTGGCTATGGGCACGGCTTCAGCAGAATTAAATGTTCCTGCCTGCCAGCTTTGAAGAGAGCAGCGGATCTCCCAGCACAGCGCTCGAGCTCCACTAAGGGACAGAATGCCTCCTCAAGTGGGTCCCTGACACCCCGGGTAACCTGACTGGGAGACACCTCCCAGCAGAGGTCGACAGACACCTTATACAGGAGAGCTCTGGCTGACATCTGGCAAGTGTCCCTCTGGAACAAAGCTTCCAGAGGAAGGAACAAGCAGCAATCTTTGCTGGGCTGCAGCCTTTACTGGTGTTTCTCAGGCAAACAGGGTCTGGAGTGGACCTCCAGCAAACTCCAGCAGACCTGCAACTGAGAGGTCTGTTAGAAGGAAAACTAACAAACAGAAATGAATAGCATCAACAGCAACAAAAAGGACGTCCACACAAAACCCTATCTGAAGGTCACCAACAACAAAGACCAAAGGTAGATAAATCCACAAAAGTGAGGAAAAACCAGTGCAAAAAGGCTGAAAATTCCAAAAACTAGAACGCCTCTTCTCCTCCAAAGGATCACAACTCCTGACCAGCAAGCAAACAAAACTGGACAGAGAATTAACAGAAGTAGACTTGAAAAGGTGTGTAAAAACAAACTCTTCCAAGCTAAAGGAACATGTTCTAACCCAATGCAAGGAAGCTAAGAACTTTGTAAAAAGGTTAGACGAATTGCTAGCTAGAATAACCAGTTTAGAGAAGAACATAAGTGACCCGTTGGAGCTCAAAAACACAGCATGAGAACTTCATGATGCATACACAAGAATCAATAGCTGAATCAATCAAGCAGAAGAAAGAATATCAGAGACTGAAGATCAACTTAATGAAATAAAGTATGAAGACAAGATTAGAGAAAAAAGAATGAAAAGGAACGAACAAAGCCTCCAAGAAATATGGGTCTATGTGAAAAGACCAAACCGACGTTTCATTGGTGTAGCTGAAAGTGACAGGGAGAATGGAACCAAGTTGGAAAACACTCTTCAGGATATTATACAGGAGAACTTCCCCAACCTAGCAAGGCAGGCCAACGTTCAAATTCAGAAAACACAGAGAACACCACAAAGATACTCCTTGAGAAAAGCAACCCCAAGACACATACTCATCAGATTCACCAAGGTTGAAATGAAGGAAAAAATGTTAAGGGCAGCCAGAGAGAAAGGTCAGGTTACTCAAAAAGGGAAGCCCATCAGAAAAACAGTGGTTCTCTCTGCAGAAACCCTACAAGCCAGAAGAGAGTGAGGGCCAATATTCAACATTCTTAAAGAATTTTCAACCAAGAATTTCATATCCAGCCAAACTAAGCTTCATAAGTGAAGGAGAAATAAACTCCTTTAAAGACAAGGAAATGCTGAGAGATTTTTGTCACCACCAGGCCTGCCTTAGCTCCTGAAAGAAGCACTAAATATGGAAAGGAATAACCCATACCAGCCTCTACAAAAACATACCAAATTGTAAAGGCCATCGACGCTATGAAGAAACTGCATCAACCAATGGGCAAAATGACCAGCTAGCATCATAATGACAGGATCAAATTCACACATAACAATATTAACCTTAAATGTAAATGGGCTAAATGCCCCAATTAAAAGATACAGACTGGCAAATTGGATAAAGAGTCAAGACCCATTGGTGTGCTGGATTCAGGAGACCCATCTCATACGCAAAGACACACATAGGCTCAAAATAAAGAGATGGAGGAATATTTACCAAGCAAATGGAAAGCAAAAAAAAGCAGAGGTTGCAATCCTAGTCTCTGACAAAACAGACTTTAAACCAACAAAGACAAAAAGAGACAAAGAAGGGCATTACAAAATGGTAAAGGGATCAATGCAACAAGAAGAGTTAACTATCCTAAATACATATGCAGCCAATACAGGAGCACCCAGATTCATAAAGTAAGTTCTCAGAGACCTACAAAGAGACTTAGACTCCCACACAATTATAGTGGGAGACTTTAACACCCCATTGTCAATATTAGACAGATCAACGAGACAGAAAATTAACAAGGATATTCAGCACTTGAACTCAGCTCTGCACCAAGCGGACCTAATAGACATCTACAGAACTCTCTACCCCAAATCAACAGAATATACATTCTTCTCAGCACCACATTGCATTTATTCTAAAACTGACCACATAATTGAAAGTAAAACACTACTCAGCAAATGTAAAAGAACAGAAATCATAACAAACAGTCTCAGACCACAGTGCAATCAAAGTAGAACTCAGGATTAAGAAACTCACTCAAAACCACACAACTACATGGACACTGAACAACTTGCTCCTGAATGACTACTGGGTAAATAATGAAATAAAGGCAGAAATAAATAAGTTATTTGAAACCAATGAGAACAAAGAAACAATGTACCAGAATCTCTGGGACATAGATAAAGTATTGTTTAGAGGGAAATTTATAGCACTAAATGCCCACAGGAGAAAGAAGGAAATATCTAAAATCGACATCTTAACATCACAATTAAAATAACTAGAGAAGAAAGAGCAAACAAATTCAAAAGCTAGCAGAAGACAAGAAATAACTAAGATCAGAACAGAACTGAAGGAGATAGAGACACAAAAAACCCTTCAAAATATCAATGAATCCAGGAGTTGGTTTTTCGAAAAGATTAACAAAATAGACCACTAGCCAGAATAATAAAGAGGAAAAGAGAGAAGAGTCAAATAGACACAATAAAAAGTGATAAAGGGGATATCACCACCGATCCCACAGAAAAACAAACTACCATCCGAGAATACTATAAATACCTCTATGCAAATAAACTAGAAAATCTAGAAGAAATGGATAAATTCTTGGACACATACAACCTCCCAAGACTAAACCAGGAAGAAGTTGAATCTCTGAATAGACCAATAACAAGTTCTGAAATTGAGGCAGTAATTAATAGTCTACCAACCAAAAAAAGCCCAAGGCCAGAGAGATTCACAGCTGAACTGTACCAGAAATACAAAGAGGAGCTGATACCATTCCTTCTGAAACTATTCTAAACAATAGAAAAAGAAAAACTCCTCCTTAACTCATTTTATCAGGCCAGCCTCATCCTGATACCAAAACCAGGAAGAGACACAACAAAAAAAGAAAATTTCAGGCCAATATCCCTGATGAACATCCGTGCGAAAATCCTCAGTAAAATACTGGCAAACCAAATCCACCAGCACGCCCAAAAGCTTATTCACTACGGTCAAGTTGGCTTCATCACTGAGATGTAAGGCTGATTCAACATAGGTAAATCAATAAACATAATCCATCACATAAACAGAACCAATGATTAAAACCACATATTATCTCAACAGATGCAGAAAAGGCCTTTGATAAAATTCAGCACCCCTTCATATAAACTAGGTATTAAGGGAATATATCTCAAAATAATAAGAGCTATTTATGACAAACCCACAGTCGATATCATACTGAATGGGCAAAAGCTGGAAACATTCCCTTTGAAAACCGGCACAAGACAAGGATGCCCTCTCTCGCCACTTCTGTTCAACATAGTATTGGAAGTTCTGACCAGGGCAATCAGGCAAGACAAAGAAATAAAGTGTATTCAAATAGGAAGAGGGGAAATCAAATTGTCTCTGTTTGCAGATGACATGATTGTATATTTAGAAAACCCCATCGTCTCAGCCCAAAATCTCCTTAAGCTGACAAGCAACTTCAGCAAAGTTTCAGGATACAAAATCAATGTGCAAAAATTACAAGCATTCCTATACACCAATAATAGACAGAAAGCCAAATGATGAGTAAACTCCCATTCACAATAGCTACAAAGAGAATAAAATACCTAGAAATACACGAACAAGGGATATGAAGGACCTTTTCAAGGAGAACTACAAACCACTGTTCTAGGACATAAGAGAGGACACAAACAATGGGAAAACATCCCATGCTTGTGGATAGGAAGAATCAATATTGTGAAAATGGCCATACTGCCCAAAGTAATTTACAGATTCAGTGCTAACCCCATCAAGCTACCATTGACTTTCTTCACAGAATTAGAAAAAACTACTTTAAACTTCATATGGAGCCAAAAAAGAGCCCATATAGCCAAGACAATCCTAAACATAAAGAACAAAGCTGGAGGCATTATGCTACCTGACTTCAAACTATACTACAAGGCTACAGCAACCAAAACAGCATGGTACTGCTACCAAAAGAGATATATAGACCAATTGAACAGAACAGAGGCCTCAGAAATAACGCCACACACCTGCAACTATCTGATCTTTGACAAACCTGACAAAAACAAGCAATGGAGAAAGGATTCCCTACTTAATAAACGGTGTTGGGAAAACTGGCTAGCCATATGCAGAAAACTGAAACTGGACCCCTTCCTTACACCTTATACAAAAATTAATTCAAGATGGATTAAAGACTTAAAAATAAGACCTAAAACCATAAAAACTCTAGAAGAAAACCTAGGCAAATACCATTCAGGACATAGGCATGGGCAAAGACTTCATGACTAAAACACCAAAAGCAATGGCAACAAAAGCCAAAATTGACAAATGGAACCTAATTAAAGAGCTTTGGCACAGCAAAACAAACTATCATCAGAGTGAACAGGCAACCTACAGAATGGAAGTAAATTTTTTCAATCTATCCATCTGACAAAGGACTAATATCCAGAATCTACAAGGAACTTAAACTTACAAGAAAAAAACAAACAACATCATCAAAAAGTGGGCAAAGGATATGAACAGACACTTCTCAAAAGAAGACATTTATGCGGCCAACAGACACATGAAAAAATGCCCATCATCACTGGCCGTCAGAGAAATGCAAATCAAAACCACAATAAGATACCATCTCATACCAGTTAGAATAGTGATTATTAAAAAGTCAGGAAACAACAGGTGCTGGAGAGGATGTGGAGAAATAGGAATGCTTTTACACTGTTGGTGGGAGTGTAAATTAGTTCAACCATTGTGGAAGACACTGTGGCAATTCCTCAAGATCTAGAACCAGAAATACCATTTGACTCAGCAATTCCATTACTGGGTATATACCCAAAGGATTGCAAATCATTGTACTATAAAGACACATGCACACATATGTTTATTGTAGCACTATTCATAATAGCAAAGATTTGGAACCAACCCAAATGCCCATCAATGATAGACTGGATAAAGAAAATACGGCACATATACACCATGAAATACTATGCAGCCATAAAAAAGGATGATTAATGTCCTTTGCAGAGACTTGGATGAGGCTGGAAACCATCATTCTCAGCAAACTAACACAGGAAAAGATAACCAAACACTGCATGTTCTCACTCATAAGTGGGAGTTGAACAATATGATCACAAGGACACAGGGAGGGGAACATCACACACCACAGCGTGTTGGGGGGTGAGAGGCTAGGGGAGCGATGGCATTAGGAGAAATACCTAATGTAGATGACGGGTTGATGGGTGCAGCAAACCACTATGGCACATGTATACCTACGTAACAAACTTGCACGTTCTGCACATGTATCCCAGAATTTAAAATATAATAATAATAATAAAGAATCCCACAGAGCACTGAAAGGAACTTCAGAGAGTTATCTTATCTAACCCTCTTCTCTATCCATAAATGGCAATAAATCCAAAGTTTCATCTAAATTACTCAACATTTATCCAATACATATTCAATGAGAATTTACTGTCTGCCAAGCATACCAGCATCTATATGATAGATGCTGATGGTGCCCATATTAATAAGAAAGCCAGTGATTGTTTTGGATTTTTAAATTTTTTTAATGGGGTAACTTATTTAAGAAATTGTTAAAAATACCGTTAAGAGAAAGGAACTGTGTCTCTTACCATAGATTCTCCCATTAATGGAACATCTTTTAAAGGTCATGATGTTTTGAGTGAGGGTACCCGTTTTGTCGGAGAAAATGTACTCAATCTGCCCCAATTCCTCATTGAGCGTGGTCGTCCGAGCCTCTGCAGGTGTTGCTTTTCGAGAATAATACATCTTCCGGTCCCAGTTTATAAAATAACTGTGTCCTAGACGAATTACTTCCATGCTGTCACCCATTAAAATGGAAAAAAAGAGAAATGCTCCATTAATTTCAGAACATACAATATTTTGCCAAAATAAGAAGTCTGCCAAAGTCTTCAGCGTTTAGAGGAAAATGTGGATGCTTTGTCCCTAGGTCACAGGGATCTTTAGAAGCTTCTCAGCAGAGTCTGCTTATACACCTTTCCAAGTCATTTCTTGCAACACCATAAAACAATAAGCCAGCTTAGGATAAAGCTTTAGGGAATGTTTCATGGTTTTCTACATTAAACAGGTCCAGTGGAGGTTTTGTGTGTAGCGTATTAGTTTGTGTCTCCTCCTATATGATAGGAGTGGTCCCCAACCTTTTTGTCACTGGGGGCCAGTTTTGTGGAAGACACTTTTCCACAGATCAGGCGAAGGCGGATGGTTTCAGGATGATTCAAGCACATTACATTTAATATGCACTTTATTTCTATTATTACATTGCAATATATAAACCGCTGCGCAGTTCACAATAGGGTTTGCACTCCTTTGAGAATCTAATGCTGCTGCCACAGCTCTGACAGGAGGCGGAGCTCAGGTCTGTGGCCTGGGAGTTGGGGAACTCTGTGGTAGGGGAAACTAATTATTATTGAAGATGTTTGTCTGATGTCTGATCTAAAGAAATGTGCTGTTGAGAACTTTCTCTCCAATACATTGTTTGATGTGGCTTCACTTCGCCAAAAGAGATAGAAAATAGTATTTCCACGAAGCAGAACCAAACCATAACAGATACTGAGTGAAAACAGGATGTGTTGTCAAACCACTCTGCCCATTTACCATGAAAAGAGTGTTGCATCACATTCTAATTACATAATTATGTTAATTATTACAATAATTATTAATATAATTCTGACTACATTCTAGTAATCATTTATGACCTCCCAGCTCCAGAAGCAAAATTTCTATGGCAAAGTGTATGAACTCTCTCAATGCTCAATGTCATACATAATGTCAAACTGATTTCCAAAAACATCATAGCAACGTAAGTTTCTACCATCAGATTATTAAGAATTATCTTTCACCATATGCAAATTCAAAAGCTATGTCACTACTGTTTACTGCATTTCTTATCAATGAGTTTAACACTTTTTTCAAATTTTATTGGCCAGTGACATTTCTTCTTGGAATTATCTAATTGTATCTGCCTATTTTATTTTTCCTATTCTGATACCGGTATATTTATTAGTGATTTGTAAGAATTCTATAGTTATTAAGTCTATTAATTCTGTCAAAAAAACAACGCAAATATTTTATCCAATTTATCATTTGTCTTTTTTTTTTTTTTTTTATTGAGACGGAGTTCCGCTCTTGTTGCCCAAGCTGGAGTGCAATGGTGCTATCTCGGCTCGCTGCAACCTCTGCCTCCCTGGTTCAAGCGACTCCCCGCCTCAGCCTCCAGAGTAGCTGGGATTACAGGCATGCTCCACCATGCCCGGCTAATTTTTTTGTATTTTTAGTAGAAACGGGGTTTCGCCATGTTGTTCAGGCTGGTCTCAAACTCCTGACCTCAGGTGATCCACTCACCTTGGCCACCTAAAGTGCTGGGATTATAGGTGTGCGCCACTGCACCTGGCCACTTGTCCTTTTTTTTTTTTTTTTTTAGAGACGAGGTCTTGCCATGTTGCCCAGGTTGGCCTCAAATTCCTGAGCTCAAGCGATCCTCCCACCTCCCTCTAGAGTAGCTGGGACTACATGTACCACCACAGCTGGCTGATGGTCTTTTCATTTTATTTCCAGTTTTTTGATATGAAGTTTTCTCTTTCTAAAGGATCAAATTCATCAGAAGTTTATACTTTTATAGTTTTGTTCAGATAAGCCTTATCTATGCCAAGATTATATATACAGATATCTATATTTTAATTGTTTTTATTGATTTTTTCATAATTACTTATCCCAATTGAAATTTATGATTGAAATTGAAAGTTTGATGTACATATGAGGAGCAAATTTCAAGTTTTCCAAACAAGAAGATGTTACATCAACATTTGTTGAACAATCAATCATTTCCCCATTAAGCTGGGATGCTTTCTGTGTCACAAATAAATCATTTTACTCACTACCATCTGATTTATGGATTTCAATTTTATTCATTGATATGACACTTAATGCATCTCTTGTTTTCATTACTGTAGCTTTATAATAACTGGCAATACATAGAAGAAACAAAATCACCTTTATTCTCTTCCTCTTCAAAAACTCTTAACTATAATCACCCATTTATTTTTCCTGATAGAATCAATGTATTCATCGAAGTAAACATTTGAATAAATGTATTAATTTTCCTACAAAATTTATTTGAGATTTTGGTTAGGTCTATGTTAAACTCTTAATTATTTGAAAAGAACTGATATTTTATAAACTTAAATACAACTTCAAGGAGAAGGTCAAATCTTTTTAGGAATTCCATTTTTTAAAGTACCTCAATTAGTTAAGGAATTTTAGTTTAGTTTTGCTTTTTCACATAGGTTCATACCATAGCCTTATAGATTTGTTCAGTCGTCCCTTGAATCCATGGGGGATTGGTTACAGGACTCCCAATCTGAGGATGCTCAAGTCCCTTACATAAAATGGCATAGTATTTGCATATAGCCTACCCATATCCTCTTGTATACTTTAAGTCATCTCTAGATTACTTATAATACCTAATACAATGTAAATGCTATGTAAATAGTTCTTATACTGTATTGTTTAGGGAATAATGATAAGAAAAAAACTCTGTACATGTTCAGTACAGATACAACCATCCTTTTTTTTTCAAATATTTCCCATCTATGGTTGGTAGAGTCCATAGATACAAAACCCATGGATACAAAGGGCAGAATTTAAACTTTTTTTTGATAGGATAAGTTTTTAAATTGTTGTTGTACTAAAATAAAGCTTTTAGTTTTTGTAGTGTTACTTTCATAATTAGACATAACTAAATTATCCTACTGAAAGTTTTACAGATTATTCTTATGGATTGACTAGATTTATAATCATATTATTATCTGTGTTCTTCCTTTCCAATAGGTTTATTTCAGTTTCATGTCTTATCTTATTCATGGATATTTCAGTTTCATGTCTTTGTACTTTAACAAGGATATCCAGAACAGCAGAAAATAGTTATGGTAATAACAGGTACCATAGCTTATTTCTGATCTTAGTGGAAATTAATCCTTGGTTTCTCTCATCTGTAGAGTGAGAAAGTTGGGCTAGATGACACTCAAATCGTTTCTGGTTATTAAATTCTATACTTCAAGTTCTAAAAGTACATGACATACCTACATTTCCCTCCCCAAAAGAGGTTTGGGGCCAATTCATTTTTAACTATTTGAATGGTAGCACATTTTTTCTCCCTAACTAAAATTACACTGTGACTATGTAGAGTGTGATATGATATTAAGATACATAACTCACACTCTTTATTTATCTTCATGTATGGTTTACTCGTCTGCATCCCACCCCACCCCCACCCTCCATGTAAATTCCTCGCTAGCTAGTCTGATTCAGCTTTATTTTCCTTATTCCTTTCACTCAAAAAGCATTAGCACTTACAACGGGCTGGGGTAGTATCTTGCCCATCAGAGGCAGTCAATCAGTGTTGGGTGTACGAATTTTAACTCTTTAGACTCTAATTTCACCAATAGGGATATTAAGACTTAGAGAGATAAAGTGACTAACCCAACATCACATCAATAATTAGCCACAGAGTCAAGACTAGAACTCAGGGATTTGGGAAAGCCAGTGCAGACCAGGCCTTAAGAATGGCATTATGAGGGTCACAATACAAACCATGAAGTTTTTTATTTATCTGAAAATCGAGTAGCTCCCTGTAATCTTAAACCAAAGTGAATGAAACAGAATTTGACTGTTCTGTGTTATAGTATAAGCCAATGGAAGTATTCAAAACTTATTCAAATTCCTAGAGCTTAAAAGTCTGAAGAGAAAATGGGCATCGTTTTTGTTTGGGAAAAGAGGATTCAGAAGAGCCACAGTGGAACATTCAGCTCTTTCTTTTACAATAGCAGAGAAAAGGAGAAAAATATTCAGAGTTAGCATACTCTGGCCACTTAGTGTTTTCTGCCTGAATACTCGCAGAACAGAGCTTATAATTTCACCCAGTCTCGGGCAAAACAAGCAACACAGAAATGAACTCCTATTACTTTGGAAAGAACACTCAAAAGCTAATTTCTTGGGGAAACAATGGCTGCATTTCTTAAGATTATGTATTTTTTAAAAAACTGTAGCTGGGTCCGCCTTAACACAACAGATAAACAAATTGACAACACAGAAACATCCTACCAAAATAAATGTCCTTTCCTCGCCTGGAATTGTTAACCATTCAAAGCAAATACTGAACTTCTATCCTCAAGTGACATATGGCACTAATTTACTCTTTGTACATATTCTAAAGCCTAATAGAAGCTTTGGCAGAAGGTCTTCATCATTCTGGACAGAAATACCTGGGAGTTCTCTTTTTCTATGTCTCAATCTTTAGGACTGCGTAACCTGAAATTCCTTGGAATGCTTTTTCCCTCGAGTTAAGATCAGAATCACTGTACTTATTTGGCGAGAGAAAGGCTCTCATTTGTCTTCGTAATTTCCATGCCTTACAACTAGGACAGAACTCTAGACTCTTTTTTTTCTTTTGATTTCTTCACTGAGTAATAAATCATACATAGCTTAGGGATAGAGGAAAACACTGTCCCAACTCTCAGAAGACTTCTGTCCCTCATTAGCTCACGATCCTGAGCAAATCCTCTCATCATTTTGAAAGCAGTTCAGCAAATCCTACTTCATAAGATTGTTGGGCAACATGAATGAGATAAAGTATGTGGACGTGTAAAATATAAAATGCTAAAAAAAAGAGAAAAGCATTCACAGAGTCTTAAAGTATCATATTTCATGGTATATTACAGAACATTAGTAATTTTGAAAATTATAAGAATGCATAAGAAAGTAGTTTTTAAGTGATAAAGTATCATGCTGAATCACTTTATATAGATAGATAGATAGATAGATAGATAGATAGATAGATAGATAGATAGACAGATAGATAGATATAGTTACCTAAAGGTAAGGTGGTATTATGTGGAGGATAAAGCAACTCAGAAATTAATCTTTTAATCCCTTTTTTTAATGGGGAAGCACATATTTGACAAACTAACCAAGGCACAGAGAAGTCAAGCACTTTCTCCAAGGTCACACAGCTTTTAGTGGCAGTACCAAGACCAGAAACTGGGTTTGGACTATTACAAATACGTTTTCTGTCTAATGAACCATGGCACATTAGAAGTATAAGGAATGCCAAACTGAGAATCTACCTTTGGTATCATTAAAAAAAAAAAATCAATCTTTCAAATCATTAAATGAAAATGTCAATGTTCTTCAAAGAAAGAATGTATACAGAATATACGTCCTTCGTGAGGACATATGAAACTGCATATGTGCAGATGGAAAGCCACTATGCACATTTATTATTCATTTAGGACATAAAGGAATGCTATAAAAGCTGACTGTAGCTCTTCCGGCAAAAAGCAGGATTTATTACAGACTTTATAATTGGATACAAGCATGAGAGGTCCTCAAAATCAAAGATGAGCCAGTAGGATATAGTTTAAATAGAGCCTCTCTGACCACAGCTCCAGAGAGCCCAAAGCAATTTGTGGTATTGTGGCCACATGCCACTACTTCAAGTCAATTTCCCACAACTTGGCATTTCAGTTTCCTGACCACTATCCAAAACAAGGGTGGATTTTGTGCATTAAACTTCCCTTGCTTCATCATAGCTAGGTTTTTGAAGAGAGATAAAAAGGGGTGCATAAAAATAAGTGGGGATTTAGAGCTGATGATTTTGTGTATTGTTGAAGTATTGATGATGAGAAGTGTCAAACAACCAAGTCCCATCTTGGCTCCAGTGTTTTTGGGACAGTCTGGCTCAGTCTTGTTAGGATCGGGATCAAGAATGTCCCAGGTACAGATTCTAGGGCCAATTTCTAATACTTATCAAATACACACACATATACATATATGCATATACATGTATCTAAATAAAGAGGTGTGTGTGTGTGTTCTTTGTGTATGTAGAGAGACAGAGAGGCAAAAAGAGAGACCACCTTAGCTCTAATTTATGGGATCAAATCTAATCCTGACAGATCAAATTGTAGTAGAAGTTATAAATCATACTTCTTATCTTACAATGGACTAGCATCACCTACTATATTTTAACTCCTTTATGTATGTACTTATAGTTACTAATAATAATAGGAAAAACTAATATTCATTAAGCTTTTATAATGTGTTAGGAATTCTTAGAGCTTTATAGGCATGTATTCACTCCTCATACAATGCTATGAGGTAGAACTATAATTTTCTTCATTTTTAAAATGAGGGAACTGAGGCACTAGAAGACGAAGTTACTTGCCCAAGATTATGGAGCTAGTAAGTGGTAGAACAGGACCTGAATCCATGTATCTATAGAGCCAGTCTAGTGGCAAAGAGGCACCCCCTCTATAGATCTCCCCAATGTTCTTCCTTTTCTTACTCAAAATTAACCAATTCTAATTGATCAGGTTACGTGAGATTATATTGTAGTCCATGTCTTACAGAGAAAAACATTTCTAAGAAACCAAATCAAATCAAGAAGAAAATGAACCACATTTATTATAATTTGAAAACATAAAAGTTAAACAGATTAAACAGCTAAGCTGTCCCATTTGAAACAGATGTCGCAAATCATAAGCAGTTAAGAGCAAGATATCTATTGCACTGCTGAAATTTTAAAACAAACAAAAATGATTACTGGAAACAAAGGTTTGGATGAAATTATTTCATTAAAATATAAACTCTCATCTTACCTCACATATAAGGAAATGGGTACAACTGTATTGAGAATAATAATATATGACCAGAATGTTAAGAATCCGGAGAACACAGAGCTCTTCTCTCCTTCATTCCAAAAGAGGAAAGTTCTAAATTGGTCCCCAATTTGACTCTCCCAGATTGAATTTCCTATTGCAAGAATAATTCCCAAGCATATCAGAAACCCAAAAATCTGAAATAAGATAGAAGTCTGGTTAAGGTTAACTTGAACCCAAAATTAGTCATATCAACATGATCTAATTATGCGTCTAACTCCAAGAAATAGTTATTTGAAAAGCAAGTATGCAAACCTCTTCTTACCATTAGTCATATGAATAAAATTTCAAATTTTTATGTCAGGAACTCAGCTAAATATTTTACATACATTTTCTCACTGAATCTGCCCATTGACGCTCTAAGATGGGAACAGTCATTATTCCCACTTTACGGTTTAAAAACAAAGTAAAATAGAAGCACCATAAAGACTATGTAACTTGTCTATGTTCACATAGTTAACAACTTCATATCCTCAATTTGTGGCAAGTAGGTATATTTAGGTGGCTTAATTAAAGGAGACCATATGCACTGATTTGTCCTGGATGGCCCCAGTTTACAACCATTGTCCAGATGTAATAGTAATCATGTTGCATTTCACCTTCAAAAGTGTCCTGTTTGGATGATAAATTATATGGCCACCCAAGGCATAAATGCAAAAGAAAATATCAGTAGATAAAGAACAATTTCAGACTAACCAAGTCTCTTGGCTATAGATCTGGCTACACAATCCTTACTTGAGGTCAACAAGAAATGTAAGGATAACTAAAATACTTCATGACATGTATACTTTACTTTTAGGATATAAATGTGGGAAGCAACTTGAAAACCATTAGCAGACACTTACATTGTTATTAGTAACAGAATTAGAAAAACACATATTTGTAGGTATAACAACTAGAGAGACAACAAGGTCAATCTACAGTGAGTCTAAAACCCTTCCTGGGAAAGGCAAGGCCACAGACTCAGTGAACATGGTTAAGACCTGAGTTGAAGAAGATGTTGCGGAGACTTTGTTCAGCTGAGTGTCACACTACGTTGGGAGCTGAGACCAGCCAATGTTGAGGGAAGAGTAGGGCTAGAGAACAGAAATGGATTTTCCTCTATTTCCTTTTTCTTCCAAGAAAGAATATTCAGAAATTCTAGAGCTGCTTTCTTCCTTATTCCATAATATGGGCACGTAAGAATAGGTGTATAAGAAGAAAAGATTGGGAAAAGTCTGATTTAAAGTATACTAGAAAACCATATATGAGAGAAAAGTAGGACTGTGAATCCCCAAAACTTCTATGACTTTGGTACCTATATTATAGTATCCTCTTTAATGGCTGAGACTATAAATTAATTAAACATGACTTTAGAGCATTAAAATTTAATGTAAAATACATTAAATGCCATAATTTAAGAATTGATTTGGCTTATAACTCCCCAATGGATCATCCTATTTTCTAGCATGAAAGATAGGGTCAGTTTGCTCTGTGGTGGGTAGACACACCCTGCATGCCCTGAAGTGGAGTCAGGGCTATTTAAATGAGAAATTCCTTGGGGGCAGAAGGGTAACAAACCCTTATGGGCATGTCTTCTTGGTCTCATAGGCTCTGTATGAAGGTGACTGGTATTGCTGGAGAAAACCCCAGGTCTGCAGGTGATACTGAAAGTAAAACACAAAGCCTGGCCAATATTTTGTGCACAGCAAGTGCTAATTTCCTTCTTTCCTTATTCAGAGTACAACTATTACATATCAGGTAAGCAAATACATATTGAGCTCAGATTCTTTATGATTGTGAGCCTGTGATAGCGTACATGTGAAAACAGGGTTTGAAGTCACAGTCTTTATATTTTAAAGTGGCTGTCTTCGAATTTTACCCCTATACAAGCAGACAAAGTAGTATTACACAAAGACTAGATATTATATCAATAATAAGAGGTAGTACAGGCTTAACTGACAAAAGGATGGAATGTAAGGAATATCTGAATATTTTTGGTAATCGGGTGGTAGAGAAGATCATTTCAAAAGAATCAGAAGTAAAAAAACAAACAAACAAACAAAAAAACAGTTAATAAGAGAAAGATAATCATGAGCTAAGGAGGTTAGAGGTCTCTGTGAAGGAGGAGAACTGTGAGGTGGGGCTCAAAGGATTCATAACCAGAACCACCTACATAATTTTCAGGGTTCAGTGCAAAATGAAAATGTGGGACCTTCTGTTCTAAAAGTATTAAGAATTTCTAGATGGCAACAGAAGTTCAATAAACTAAACATAAGGCCCTCTGAGTGTGGGGCCCTGTGTGGTTACACAGATTACACGCCCATGAAGCCAGCCTTGCCCACCATAAGCTATGTATAGAGGATCTGAAAAAAAGTAAGATTACAAAAACACCAAACTGCCTTAAAAACTATGTTTGGTTTTCCAAAAACAAATCCTTGGGATATGGGGAATTTGCAAGACCATGAATACTTCCATAAACACTAACCTACCTCTCATGATAAATTCTACCACTGATTGAGAAATTAGCATAATCTAGAAAATAGAAGGCAGTGTAACTGAGCCTCAAATGCAAAATCCCCAAAAACAAACTCCACAAGGAGAATATAGGCTTCTTAAAGAATTCCCAGCAAGATACAGTAAATATATTAAGATAACAATGACTAGTGATATTGCCTAGTTTTGTAACTTACCCATAGTACTAGAGTATTCATCAATCTATCAATGCTTGTCCTTTTAAACTTCGTCTTACCACTATTCTGCATTAGTTTAGTGTCAGGACCTGCAAAAACAAAAAAAGTAAATAACTTTGAAATGATATGATTATGTATTCTTATTCTTATTATTGCTTACATCAAATGTCTCTGAAAGAAAAAAATATATATTTTTCACAATAATTTAACTTTTATTAAGAGCAAGGGCCATTAAATTGTATACGATTCTCAACAATTAGGTTAACAACAATCCTGGAAACTGCAAGAGATGTGGTCTTCTTAGACCAGGATAAATACAGTCAGAACTTGTAGTTGATAGGTTTAAGTAAAGCTATTTTTTCAAAGTCTATGCACAAATAGGCTTCTAGTTTGACATAGTTAAAGATAACACAGTCAAGAAAAGTGAGGAATAATTTGGAAATATTAAAAAGAATGCAGTAACAAACACAATTCAGAACACTAAGGTAAAAAATGGAAAAATAAGAAATCAAATTCTAGATCTGTTTCCCAAAAAGATTTGAGGTCCCTTTGAAGGAGAAACTAGAATACCCCCAAAATACATAAGCAAGTAATTTAAACCTTTATTGTGTATCATATACTGCATGTATATAATATGTAATTTTTGCAAAGATAAGAACTGTCTTAAACGTTGTGTTAGATTTATTTCAGGTAATTACATTATCCCATGATAAGTGCCTTGTTCCCAGAATTCTAAGCATATAATCAACTGCTTTAGAAGTGGGTTATCAGATGATGAACAAATAAAAATATTGAAAAATATTGTTAAAGAAATTCCTTGTGGACAGAGAAAACGCTAAATAAAAGCAATTAAGTTTTAATTAAAGCTAATTTCTCTAGTGTTTCCTCTCCACATAGTCTTCTCATGATTTTCAATCCATAGAGCCATTTAATATAGGAGAAAGGGGGAAATTAAAGAAAGGAGAAAAGGGAGGCACACCCAAAATTATATACCACTCCAGAAGTCAGGGAAGGATAGGCACATCCTTAAAAGACTTTCCTTTATGTAAGAGAAAAACAGAAGCAATAATTGAGGTTTCATAACAATTCATTGTCTTAAGTTGGAAATTGCATCCCAGTGTCCTATTCCTAGCTACTGCTGTGTATAGGAGACCACCCACATTTTCTCAGAATCATTTATTAAAATCATATGAACATTGAGGATGGGAAATATTTCTTTTATGGTAAAGATCACAAAGGCCAAATAGTCTGCAACCATAGCACCCTGAACATACTTGATCTCATCTGATCTCAGAAGCTAAGCTAAGCAGGTCAGGCCTGGTTAGTACTTGGATGGGAGACTGCCTGGGGATACTTGGTGCTGTAGGCTTTAAAAAAAAACACATAAAGTTTGTGGTTGCTAAAAACTGAAATAAGGAAAGACCAGTTAGGTGCTGAAAATGTACATTTCATTAAGCACACAAATGCACACAGACTAATAAGGAATCCTCTTTATGGATTGTTAAGCACTTATGTAAATATAACCACAAGTGTTTATATGCACATCTCTTCTCATTGTCAAAGACCCTGAAAGAATTTTCTGCACTCAACAGCCTCTGTTTTCGTATCTCCCACTCGTTACTCAACCTAGTCTCTGGGCCAATCACAACACCAAAACAGATCTGGTGTTATCATCAATATCCTCCATAACTTCTTGACCACTCAGCAATCTTTGACACTGTTGACTATTCCATCTTTTTGAAACATACTCTCCCTTTAGCTTCTGTGTTATAATGTTCTCCTGCTTTCCTTCCTACCTCTTTGGTAGCTCCTTTCCTGTCTTCCGTGATACTTACCCTCCTTTCCCTCTACCCACTTACTAAAGACTGAGAATCCTTAAGACTCAGGCATAGGTCACCTTATCTTCTTACTCAATCTTCCCTGGACAATGTCACCTAAGACCGTAGCTTTAAGACTAATAGTTTTAATAATATAGACAAGATGTGTATCCCCAGCTCATGCTCTTCCTCTGAGCTCTAAATCCATATATTTAAACCTACGTATTGTGTTGCCTGTATATTTCCATCTGGATTCTTCTAAGGCTTCTCAAGTGGCCCTTGTCCAATCTAGCTTACAATCTTTCTCCAAGCTTCTTATCTCAGTATCATCACCATCCGTCCAGTTGTGAAGATTGGAAGAAACCTCAGTCATAGTGGATAACTTTATCATCCTCACCTTCAAACCTGGTCATCAAAGGTTGTCAATTCAACTTTCTAAAAGCCTTCTGAATTTATCTACTTCCCTTTCCTTTCACAATCTCCGCCCTAATCTAAGGGACTGTCATCTCTCAACTGTAAAAACCTAGAAACTTTGTCTCCCTGCATCCACTCTGCCCCCAAAACTAACCAATATTTTTCCTCCTCCCCAACCCCAGGACCTGCTGTCTATTTACAAACATTACAAACAGTTTTGGCAAGATTAAGCCTTTCACAATTAACACATATATACCCCACCTGTTTGACAACTTACAATGGTGTCCCGAAGCTCTTAGGATAAAGATCAAAATTCTGGATACTGACCACAAGGTCTACCAGCGTGATCTAGCCCCTATCCATGTCTCCAGTCCCATATCCATCTGTGTTCTCCATACCCCATACTGGTCTTCTTTTTTGACCTCACTTTCCTTACTCCTGCCACAGGGCCTTGGCCATTGATATGATTTTGGCTTGAGATGAATACCTCTTTCTCTCTCCTACCATACTGAAAATCATACGAGTGAAGGTACTACATTTGCTTTTGTTCACATTTTTAATCCCCAATGAGTAAGTAGGATAATGCCCAGCATATAGTAGACATTCAATAAATAATTTGTAAGTAAATTAATTTTTAAGTAAATTAATTTTTTGAACATCTACATTTCACCTATTATCTCAACTAATGCTTACAACAAACTAACAAATTAGGGACTATTATCCTCAGTTCAATAATAATGAAACTGAGTTTAAAGAATTGAAATTGTGTGAGATTTCTCATCTAGTAAGTGTCAGAGTGAGAATTTGAACCTCGACGTAAGTAATTCTAAAGTTCTTGGTCTTTACTATTTTCTAAAACTATATGAAATAGTCAACCAATATCTAAGACTGTGTCTTATTCAGGATCCTAAAAGGAAATAGATGACACATCGAACAAAGATAATTGGAGGAGGTTTATTTATAAAGGAACTCTTCACAGAAAGCGTAGGTGGGATTATAGGGGAAACAAAAGGTTAGTGCATTAACGAAGGGCATGTAGCAATCAAGCTGTTTCTCCATCTGAGCCAGGAGGGACGAAGGGAAAGAATGGCTACTGGACCCTAAGGGAAAGAGGTGATAGGAATTTGCAGCCCTTAGAGTAAGAGTGGCCTTCTGCTGATAGATCTGGCCAGCCTGAAGTTACCATACAAGAATGCAGCCTGAAGGAGTAAATACCTTGACTGTAATCTCCTTTCTCCTTTTGATCTCGTCCTAGGGAGCCCTGAGACAAAGCCCAACCAGAAGCAGAAGTACAAGGTAACCTGTTAATATAAACCACACAAGTAAGCCTCCTAGGGCAGAAAGAAGGGTGGAAAAAGGTGAGAGGAAATCTGGAGAGGCAAACAGAAGACATCTAGGACAAAAATGCAGTGTGCACTCAAGATGGTACAGACTCCTAGAGACTGTTTAAATGAATATAATTCCTGCCCTCAGAAACAAGATTTTCTCCTCTCTTAAGCGTAAAGAAGGCATTACCAGGGAAGTGTAGCCTAGCTGTTAATATATATTAGACCTTCATAAATAATACGTTTGTAAAGCAAACCATATCTGTGTCATCTATATTCCTTGCACAATTCCTAGTGGTAGGTATAACTAGAGTAATAATACAGAAAGAATACTTAATAATTCATTGGATATTTTTCATTAGACCTAGGTGTTGACCTGGAACTAGTTCCCCAACTAAATGTCTTAAGACTTAGAGGTTTTGCGACATCCGTTTGTACATCTCTGACACTGATGAAGCCAACCACTAATTCTTCTGTTTGCCAGCATTCTAATAAAGCTTTCTACCAACATTTGTAACCAGACTAAAGTCAATGCAGGCATGCTCTGCTTTACAAATATCCACTTGATAAGGTCCCCTGCAAGTGAATACCGTGGCCAAATCACAAGAGAAGGGAGTATTCCCTCTCTCCCTGCTGCCTGCTGCCTGCTGCCAAAGTCCAGAGAGCACTAAGTTTTTCCAACTCTCAACCTAGAGAGCAGGCTGGGTGCTCTGAATTAAATTTGAAAGGAGGGAGAAGCAGAAAAGGAAGGAAAATAACATTTGTCAAGCATCCTTTTCCATATGCATTATCTCATTGAGCACTTAAAATGACTCTAATGTACTCATTATTATCCCCATGTTACAGCAGAAAAAAAACTAAAGCTTAGGAAGTGTAAGTAACCAAAGCTTACAGTCCTATAGCTGGTAAAAATAATAATAATAATAACAATAAATAAAAAAATAGTAATAAATCCAAACTCAGGTCTGCCCAATCGAAATTCTGTGAACTTTCTGTTACAATTCCTTGGAGGGAGGCTGTTCAACTTACCAGCCAACTTCCATGTTTTTCAGAGCATTTTCCCATAAAGGAACCTTACAAAGAAGAACTTGGCCTCTCAGTAGTTCACAACAGCTGCCCTAGCATGAAACATTGCAGCTGAACTTGAGTCCTGAATTAGCCATTCCAAACAAGATCACAGAAATGCAAAGTTTGGGGCTTTATCCCATCCATAGGATGAAGCACTTCTATCTCTATGATGACAGGAAGCAAGTCAGGAGGGTATTTCCCATCAGAAGACCACGAAATTTCCCCATCATTAAGTAGGAAGTTAAAGGAATGTTCATGGACAAGCTTAGCTCTCTCTTTATCTGTGTAACGAAATATATGATCATATGTTTATTTCCCCAACTAAAACATAAAAGCTCATTTCTAGGGATTTCCCAGGTCTTTACAACGGCAGTGCCCCAAGCAGCAAGAGCACTGATAACACTGACATCTGACAGTATTTAGAGGAATTGGGAGAACAATTCTAGGTTTGGAACACTTCTAAGATTTTAATGAACACTTTGTTGTTGTTGAGGAAGGTCAGTTAAGAAAAACATTCCAATTTTGATTGCACATAGTCAAGAGGCCCAAAACACATCTTAATTTGGTGTCACAATAAACAGGACTTTTAAAATCAAGGGCTGGCAATTGAAGCCATGAGTACAATTTGAGTGGCTTTATGAAATGGTGCTACTGTAAGCTTTCTTAGCAAGAGAGGGCCACCTTGGGCCTACATAAATAAAGCAGAGAAAAGAAATATGGTGGGCAAGAAGAGTAAGAGGCACCTCCCCCCACCCCACCCACCCCCATCATGCACAGTCTTTCCAGAACCCACTCTCCTATTTACGAACAGTGGAAAAAGTTATGGAGTATAAACAGAAATGATTACAGGATCAAGAAGCCTTTTCCAAAAGGTCTGCTTGACCTTTGCAAACTACAAAATTAACTGCACAGCCAGGGGCTTTCTTTCATACTCTTACCCACTTTAAAGGCAGATTCATACATAAAATGACAAAGGTGATTAAGATGGGGTTAATAAAGAAAAATTAAGCAGTAGGTATCTAGCACCCACTGTCTCGTTAAAACTCCAGCATCTTTAAGAATAAGATGGCAGTAGTTCCTCATACAGCACAGCCACCTGTACTCTTTTCAGAGCAATGGTGTTTTCTCCTGGTGTCCTACAATCTGAAGCCAGCTCCAGAGCACTACTTCGCATGGAATGAAAGCACTGTGCTCATCAGAACTTGGAGAATCGTAGACTGTGCTAGTGTACGTTGCAGGAAAGGTTCCCATAGAGCTGGGTCACATGCTGTACCTGCAAAAATAACCATTCCAAAACACCAGCTGGTATTTCTCAGGATGCAGCCTCTCAGGATTATCTTCTCATTGTTGAGGGAGTGCTTGCTGTCTTTCCAAGAAAGGATTCCCATGAATTTATCTAACTTGTTGTTAGGCGCCTCACAGACAACAATCCCTGGAAAATAAAAAAACAAAACAAACCTCTTTACGACTCACCCAAAATTCTCTTCAGAAGCCCACAGCAGTGTTTTACCACTGTTTCCCTTTAATAGCACGGGGTTACATACACAGAATTGTGCTAGAAAAAATAAGCTGGGAGGTAGAGAAATGGAAAGCCATCAACTATTTTGAAACAGTTTTCTGTACTGTCCAAATAAAAATTTTTAAAAAAGAAAACAAATAACAACAGAAACCTTAAGAGCTATGGGATATTTTTTTTTTAAAAAAAAAAAAGAGCATATCTTTACTTCTAGTTTATAACAAATAATTTTTGAAAAGATAAAGCAGTGACTGTCCTAAAAGTTTCTCTTATTCCATCTCTTTCAGCTAAATGTGAACTTTTACACAGTTTAAAATAGCATACTTCCAGTCTCACAACAAAAGTTAACCATCTTTCTAAGCTCATAATCAGGATTTCAGAGGTCCTACTGTATTCCACCAGAAAGAAACCTGGGCCTTGTTTGCCACATGTGTCTGAGAATGCGTGTGATTCCTTTCAGCTGTTCTATGCTGCTTATCTTGATTAGATTCAGAGTTCTGGGGACTCTCAAAGGCACCATATAACTTGCCCCTAGAAGATGTTTCTAGTTTCTTTAATTCCAAACCAAAGGCATGCCCACTCCAAATCAATGAATCAATTCGTTCCATTATTTCAATATGAAAATATACATTTAGGATGGGGGTTCTCTAGATAGAAAAAGAAACCACAAAGAATCTTTCACGGACCCTGTCACAAAACATAACTATTAGATTAATATACATATCCACTGCAAAAGGTGAGGAAAAATTATTATACATAATGAGTACAAAGACACGAAAGAACAGAATGGAGGGAGAGAGGAACAGAGGGAGGAAGGAAAAAAGAGAGGGGAGATATGAAAAAGGAAGCTGTGGTTAGATCCAGTCAGGATTTGAGTCGGAGTTGGGGGTGAGATTAGTACCTACAAAGTTCTCTCTCTCAAAAGCAAACAAACAAAAAAACATTCACATTTAATCAGAAGTCAAAAGGGCAAGTTGAAACATAAAACGTAGCATTTGGAAAATAAAAAGGGGACTGTATCTTTAGCGCTGATTAAAGAGAAAGGGGACCAAGTAAGCCTAGAGATCTACATTACACTGACTCCATCCACTCTCCAAGCTGCCGTCTGAACTTAAAAGAGGCTTCTTAGGTGGGTCCCCTTTCTTCCTAGGATACTCCCTTTAAAACTACTAAACAGAGGTAACAGCAACCAGTTGCCACAAGGCCACTGGTCACTCCTGACCAACCAGATCACTAACAGCCCTTGCATTAAAAAAGCAAAAGCAAATAAAACTGTGAAAGGAATGAGGGTCTCATGGCCTCAGGGCCGCTTTTCCAACCTCCACCTGTCTTTCCCCAGTATAACAAAAGTACTGCCTCTCCACTCAGGCACTCACTGGCAGTTTCCCAGACATCCCTATTTCCCACTGCTAAATAGAGACTGCTGGCAGGAGGATTTGGATAAGACAAATAACCTTGCCAAGGGAAGGGGCTGAATTCTGGTTAGCTCCATTATGGCCTATCAGTGATAGTAAAAAGTAAATTAAAACCGATTTAAACTGGCTCAAGTTGTTTGGACAACTATGTTGTAGATGGGGAGACATTTTCAGAATTCAGTATCTTTTCTTCTTGACCAATTTTCACTCTGAATTGTAAAATCTTGAATTGGCTATCACCAGCAAAATCTACATAAAATAACAGGTTAACAGTAACACTTAAAGTTTATTTCAGATTCTTGACCCAAGACTCAATTTCTCAGGCTTCAAACTGAGCCACTTAAAAAAAAAAAAAAAAAATGTGCTTTGGGCAAAAACAACATGATATGCAATCCCTGCCAACAGGAATATAAAAAACAGGTTCATTTGATCATTTCTATTGTCGTAAGCAAAGACTGACATAGAGGCAAATACAGCCTTAAACACGTTGGCTCGCTCCTCGCTGGCCTCACACCAAGGGTGTGGTTCTAGACAGGAACAGGCAGTAGGGCCAAGGGGTACTGCCTGGGTTCTTGGAGGCTAAGCCCCAATTCAGCCTTTCTCAAAGAGTGTGGTCTCGGTGATGTAAGTTCTAAATACAGGCCCCAGTCAAAACAAAATGGTGGGAACAAAGCCAAACTACATTTGTTTTTATCATTAGAAGTGCTCGGCTTCCCCTTTTTAAGCTCTATTAGCATAAAACACACACTTCCCAATTTCTTTTGTACCACTTTCCAAAAGGGATGAACAGATTCCTTTGAAGGGAGCACTGTATTCACCTTTGTATTCCTATAAACTATTATACTACCTACATAATAGGATCTTTGTCGAAGAGATGGATAGAAAAAATTTCAGATGATTTCAAGAGAGAGGTTAAGAGATGAGATGGATATTAGAGCAGATCTAAGAAAAATGGACAAAGTAGGTATATTTCCATGATAGTGATGAAGGACTAGAAAACCAAATAGCCGAGGCACAACAGGCGGGGCTTAGTTTCTGGCCTAAATCTAATGGGAGCCGAGTAGATCGGAGAGTACTGAAAACAGGTGGGAGCATTAAAGTGCATTAGAAGCAGCCAAAATGAGAGCCTAGCCATGAAGCATAACAAGGATGAGGGGAAAGTTCTCTTAGGACCCTTCTTCCTTTTGCTAGTTCAATCAGAGAAGAGAAAGAGGATGTAAATGGTCAGTTTGACAATCGATGAGGAAATAGTTTAGGAAAAAATCACATCATTTCTCACATAGTCATTTATTGAATACATATTTGGAGCACAAAATCATCTTTAATGGCCAATAATAAAGCTGGAAGAAAATCACGTCAATAATGAAGTGTAAATACAATCAAACTAGCTGCTCATATCTGTTTGCCCCTCTGAAGAGAAGACATGAAAGCAGATTGCAATCTATCCATTTGACACTCACACAGAAATGCTCTAGACCCACACTGAAAAAAATCTACAGGATCTCATTCTGGACCTTCCTAAGCATTCTAGATTTAGTCAGCCGGATTGTTGGTTAATTACCAACTCGACAGACTTCTCGAGTTAAGTATTAACCTCAAAGAGAAAGTCTGCAGCTTATCATAAACATGGAACTCAGTGCCCAATATTCTATGATTTTCCAGAGAAGCTGGCTTCATCTCTTTGTGTGCATTATTAATAGAAATAGTTACTGATTATCTGTACTGCAACTCTTCCATAAGACAAATTATCCAGCAAATAAAACATCAATATTGCTGTTCAAGAATTTCTCTAGCCAAGAGTTTCTTAGCATTTTAGAGATTGCCCACTACTGTTTGCCCTGAAGATTGTGACAAATATTTATTTATTTTCTTAGAAAGAAGAGTGTCACCTTCCTATTTTCTAAAGCTTCTTTACTCTTCAACTGTCAAGGTTCACCCATCCATCATTACCATAATGGCATGTCGGCACCAGCAGTAAAGATTCCGCCTTTACATGGAATCTATGCCTCATGCGTCAGCTGTGCTGTTGGGGTGTGCTCCTGTCCAGGTGAATAGGAAAGCTATCTGGTAAGCAAAAAAACTCACAAGATGCTAACCAAGCTATTTTATTTTTTTAACCAAAAAGAGATGCTTATTTTTCCATGTTTTAATTACACACATGCTATTCTTTAGAAAGAACCACAAAATATACAAGGATTCCTGAATAAAGAGTCAACCTTTCCCTGGTTCAGAATTCAGCATTAACAGTCATACAAAATATGTAAACTTGTCAGGAGTTGCAGAAAACAGATCTCAGTTCAGTCAGTAACAATATGCAAAAGATTCTTAAACACATTTCGACAATTTACATCCGGGGATTTCCCCAAGGAATAAGAATGTCCAGTTTACATAATAATAATTGACAAGTATTTCAGTTACTTGTTTATAAAAGCTTTTCAATTCCCATAAGACTTTAACATGAAAATCAAGGCCCACTCAATCTCTTTTTATATTATATTTGATCTACAGTGTTAGATCAAGTTATGTATCTTTTCTTACAAAATTCAAGAGACCATAAATCATTTTTTTCTGATGTTTGAAATGTATAAAAATATTTGCATGAGAACTTTTCAAATAAATGGATTTACCTGCCAAAACCCAACTCTCTTGTGTGCACTGATCTCTACATTTGGCCAAGTCTTCTATAAACTCTTGTCAGGGATCTTGACATTCAAAATCACTGAGAACATTGCTACGTTTTAAAAATATGATGACCTCATCCTTGTCCTGGATGGACTTGATCTCTGGTAATTAATTTTGTACCTTCGGGTTTAGAATATTTTAAAATTTCATTTATTTCCCTAATCAGGAGCTAAGCTCTTGTGCTAATTTTCCCTAACTTTCCAATGCTGTCTTTCTACTTTGGTTTACAACCTGGGGTTTTGTGTCCTTTTGTGTCCTTTGTAAAATAGGCTTTGCCAAAAGTCCAGGGTTCATAGTCTGGCTTCTCCACTTAACAGCCATATGACACTGGGAAAGTTAATCAATTTACCTTGGTCTCAGATTCTTTATCCATAAATTGAGCTAACAATAATCTCTTCCTTCAAGAGTTGTAAGGGTTTAACAAGATAATGTGTGCAATTACTCAGCATGGTGCCTGGTACATAGGGAGCTCTTGCTCACATATCAACATCAAGTTTAGGGCCTGAGAACTTTAGGACCTTTACCTAATCAAAGGCTTCTTTAGGGATGAGACTTTTTTCAAGTCTGTCTTCTCCCCTGGGAAATAAGCTCTAAAAAAGCATGGCCTGAGCCTGACTTATTCACCACTGTATCCTAGGCTTAACAAATCCCTTGGCCTTGTGTTAAACATACATTTGCTAAATGAATAATGGGTGACTGTACACATATGGATGAAAGAAATCAGCTCACCAGAAAGACATTATCTTTGAATATAGATGCAAAAGTGAGGAGGCAGAGAGACTCACCAGAGACATCCTGAGGTTTCAACCCATCTCAGTTCTGACCCTATGTGTCCAAAACGTGGAGTCCCCAGTGGGAACTTCTCTGGGGATAGGAGTGGGAAATTCAGGTCTTTAGATACTTGGAAGATGTGCTTTTATGATTCAAGGACAGAAAACTGTAATTTGGTGCTAAAGAAAGTATTTGGCAAGTCTCAGAAGAAAAAACACACAGTAACCAGAAGCAAAAATAATGCCATACCCAGATTTGCCCAGAAGTCACAAATTAAAACATATACTTAGCACAGATAGAACATGGTAAAGAGTGTGCCTCACATATCTGTCTCATCTATTATACCTTGCCAAAGCTAGCCAGGTCATTGTCAAACATACACAATGTTGATATCTTATTTTAATTTAAACTAAAGGATGCAATATCTGGTTTTGATTCCCATGAGTCAAGAAAGTCTTTTTCCAATCACCAGAGGAAAACCTGTAGTCTATTGATATTTCATTAGGACAAAGGTGAATAAAGAAGACACAAAAAAGGGAGTAGAAAAAGAACAAGGAGCAAAGGATCAAAAGCACCTGGATAATATATGGAGAGATCATTTATAATTCTACATATTTTGTTTTGCATCTTGTACTTTGGAGGTACTTAATAAAGACTTAAACCAATTACTATGGAGAGAGTGATTAAAACAAAGATAAAGAATGACAGAAAAGTGACACTGCAGGTGGAGAAAATAGCTAAGATAAAAAGTGAAGGAGGAAGATGAGATGAGAACAGTAAGCAAGAATACAGGAAGGAAAAAAAGGAAAGAGAAGAATGGTGAAATGGAGTAGTTAGAAAACCATGTGCAGATAGTGGAGAGTGTGTGTGTGTGTGTGTGTGTGTGTGTGTGTGTGATATTAAAATTGAAATGCATAAATTAGGTCTTGGAAAGAAGTGGATGGAGAAAATAACTGAAGGCCAAGGAAAGCAAGAGCAATCATGGGAAGGATTTAGGGTTTATTAACTGTCGTAACTCTTTCAAAGGCTTCCATGCCACATCTTGCATCATCCTCTTGGTCTTTAAATTTGGCTGCTAACTGGGGGGAATCTAATTTGTATATTGTTTCTAATTTATTTTCCTTCAATTCATCTATTCATTCTTCTGATGCTTTCTTAGAAACAGGAAATTATATTTTTTATTTATTAGAATAAACCCATAAAACACCCTGTTGCCTTGAACTTTAAGGTAGATTGAAATGCAGCCCAAGATTTTAAAACGAAAAAGTAAACTTAACAGAAACCTGGATTTTAGCCCAGAAGTGTACCAGCCTCATGAATTTGGCATTACATGTTTTCTGAAAAGCTGACCACAGTTTAAGTATATATAATCATAAAAAAGGGAGGCTCTGTGTTGCCTTTATTGGGGAAAACAATTATTCATTGGGGATTTGGTGAGTTGCCCATTCTGTATGAAGCAAATTCAAGTCATATCTAGTAAGTAATAATTATTAACACACCTTAAAAGTAAATTTTGTGAAGTATTTTTAAATGGCTATTTTTATATATAAGTAAGTCCTTTAACTTCTCAAGACCTGTTACCTCATCTGTAAAATCTTAGGGGAGGAAAGTGTTTTCAGCCTGAGCAAAACCACTTGTATTGGTTTAAATTTGGAGCTACTGTGTTCCAGTTTCTTACATCAGAAAGGATCTGAAGTAAAGACATTTTAAAACTACCATGCCAGCTGATCCCTCTCCCAGACACCTGCCTTCCAGGAGGAGAGGATCCAGCACTCCTTCGCAGTCCTACAAGGCCACTTCAGGAAGCTTAAGCTTCCTCCTCACCCCATCGTTTCACACTCCCTTCCTAGTCTCTTTATGTTAGGCCTTTCCTTTGCCCTCCCATGTCTTTTTGGGGCCTGATGCTAGTCTTCCTCTTTGCCCCACACTGGAATTTATAACTATTTATTCATTTTCTGCTATAAGAAGAAGAAAAAGCCAAGCAGGGTATGGTGGATTGAGAGTATAAGGAGTCATGCTGAAGAGAGGGATACTTAGCGCCAATCCTATAGTTCCATGTAAGAAATCCACCTAATCCAGCCTGGCTCCTTATGCATTATCCTGGCATCGACTTACAGAGCCATGATTCTTGGAGGGTGTGGTAGAGACAGTTAATGCTCAACGAGTATTCGTATTTGTTATTTCCTAGCCTCCCTTGCAGTTAAGTCAGGGCCAGGTAACAATGTTAGCCAATGAACTATAAGAGGAAGAAGAATTTAAAAACCACTGTGTCTCTTTCATCTTACCCTTTGCCCGATGCAGGGACCTCAGACGCCATTAGTCCAGATACTGTGGCTCCGTGACGGAGAAGGCCACCCAACCGACTCAGGATGTGACATGGGCAAGAATAAGCCTTTACTGTGTTTATGCCACTAAGATTGCAGGGTTGTTTATAACTGCATCATAGTGTAGCCTATCTGGGCAAACATGTAGGAAAGAATGGGACCTAAATAATTGTTAACAATCACGCTCTGCTTTTTGATGGTTAACAACACTAAAACTCATGAATTTCTACCTCTTCGTAGATCAATAGAGGTATAAAGGTACAACTCTGCCAGGAAAGAAATGAGTAATAGTAAATTATATTTAGGTGGCCCTTTTAGGACTCCATAAATATTCAATGAGGTATTTTAAGCAAGTATTTTGATTCATGAACACAATTTACTTTTCTTGGATTCACATAATAGTAAAATTTCATTGAAAAAATTACTTAGTAGAAAATGTGTAATTTGTTTTATTCTAATCAAAATATTCCTTGGACCATTCAGTTTCCTGGCTACTCCCTGACTTAAATCTCAATTTGGAGGAATTTTTTTTCTATAAACATCTGTTATAAAGGCATTCATTTAAGAGAGATTAAAATATTAACAGAATCCAGACAGAGTTTACAAGCAAAGGCAATAGAAGCTCTAAGCTCTGCACTGGAGAAACTTTACAACATAAACTTGCCTGTGCTTTAACTCATGTGATTATGCTAAGACCCTTATCCATGTTTTCCATAAGTGGATCCCCCAAAAACACATTTTGGAAGTTTGTCTCAAACTCATGAAAATCTATTAGTAAATAAAGCCAATCTGTATGGATATACTAATATTCTGGGCCAGACTGACAAGTGGGTAAAGCAGGAGACCATTGAGGAGTGAAAGAGAGACTCCAAAGATTCTCTCTGCAGTCTATTATGGTGCCTAAAATCCTACAATCAGTGTTTCTTTCCTTTGACTCTTGAAGTATTGCGTTTCTCTGTGGTGTCTTAATCATAAATGCAGATATCCCTAGAATGGACAACATCTGACGGTTGTTCCATGACAACTTAAGAATAACTTTACTAGAATAGAACAAGATATAGGTAGAAAAGGAGAGGCAAGAGAGATTATACTGAAGATCAAGGGACCAGCTGAATGGCATGAAGATGGAAATACTGAAACCATGGTCTAATATAAAAGCCAACAGATGACCAACTGATTAATAAATCAGAATATTCTTCTTGAACACCTAATATCTTCAAGACATTATACCAAGCGCCGTACAAGGTACAGAAATATATGAGGCAGGATGACTGTCTTCATGAAGTTTGAGGTCCGGTAGTTTTTGTTATGGAGCCAGGAAATGGATGGGTGGTTAGACCTAGAGCTAGAAATACAAGGGTAGCCAATATTCCTCCTCAGCAAGTCTGTATATGGCTCCAGGGAGGCCAACATTAGGCAAGTAAAGGATATTATGGGATTGAAGTAAATGATATTTAAAAAGGAAACAAGCATGAAATGAATGATAAACTAATAAAGCCATTCTCCCCTTGGCAAATATTTTTACTCTCTTTAGCGTGAGAATAAATTACAGGCTTTGATGCCTGGAGAATTTTATGTCCTTCCACCAAATAAAAAGAAACATAAGTTGGATCTCACATAATTAGTTTGTTGCTTTGCTTTTTGGGTTTGAGATTTTTGTTTGTTTATCTGTTTAAAATACTTACCGTCAAACCTTGCAAGTCTGTTGATATCTGCTCCAAGTTCCGAAGTAACTGATAGTGCATGGCGGACTTTTAGGTTCGTTTCCCTGTGAAATTATTGACATGACATGAATTTTTATATGGAACAGCCAACAGCATCCGACCAAAGCAATCAGGTGGGTGTAGCACATGCAAAGCCAAACCCAAGAGATCCAAGAAACTCTCCTTTGAATGTCATTCACACTTCGCTCACTGTTTCAGGAAAGTGGGCAGGGCTTCTTGGGCTCCTAAGAGTTGGCATTCTACCCATGGCACATCTTTATAACAACACACTGATCTGTTTCGCATTTTGAAAGAACAGAGGACATAACAAATATGGTTTCATTTGAACCTACTCAGACATCATGCATGAGTTACAAAACACATTCGGAATAGGAACACAGTTGCCAAATAAAGGAAGCTAATATCACTCCAGAGTCTACTATCTACATAGGAGTTTTACTTGCAAAAGATGGTCATGGCTAATTTCACAGTAGCTGAAATTTAAATGGGAAAAGGAATACAGCTTTCATTTTCTTGGAGAATCAATCCAAGAAACCCATAAATCTAAAATAGACAACCTACACAAGCTTAGCAAATCACAGTGAGTTGTGCATCTTCTTATAGGTGGGACCACACATACTTTGGACAGATGGCTCTCTGATATTCATAAACGGCCAGCAGTTAAGATTCTATGGCCATCACTTATGTCTTGTGTTTAAGGGCTTACCATCCCAGTTTTCTCACTGAATTCAGCCTAATTCTCTTACACTGTAGCTTAAGATCAGTTATCAGAGTTCTATGTTTTATGGAAATGTTTAGTGATACATTCATTCAGTCAACAAATATTGATTAAATACATACCCGAGTCACCCAAGATACTCAATCCTCCCCCAAAAGGATAGTCATCCTCTTGGGGAAAACAAGTGGTAGGTAAAAAAGCAAACATCACTGTGTGGAATTTTGTGCAAACCCATGAAATAACTCATTTTAGACAGCCAAAAAGCGGATACCTAACAAGGCATCCAATCTTAACCTTCTGTAAATGAACTTCACAATGATGTAGGACAATATGAGTCTAACTTAAGGAATACCCATTGTTAAAATAGCTTTCTTCAGGAAAAACTAAGTTGGATGTATAACTGAAGCTAGTTTGTTTAAAAGTAATCTTATTCATCAAAACCTGCTGATTCCTAGGAGGCAGAGATGAGTAGGAATTGAGATAGTCAAGAACTTCATAGATGAAGCAGAAATTGAGCTGGCTTGATGGACAAGAGTGAGATAAGTGGTAGAGAGGCTAAAGGGTCAACATGTCCATCCACTTAAACAACTGTTCAAATAACTGAAATAGTCACACCAAAAAAGACAGATAGCCCTAGTTCTTTGGCCCTAATCTACGTCATGTCATTTATCAAAGTTTGTCATCATTTTTAATTACTTCCTCAGGATCCTCTCCACTATCTCACTTCTACCTTCAAATGCGAAAAACAAAAGAGTAAGAATAATCACACATAGGCCTTCTTGATACTTTTAAAAAGTATTTTTCAAGACTCCTGATTAATGCCTTCATTGTCATTCCACACTCTTCCTTAATCTGCCTGAGTATCTTGATAAACTTCAAAGTCATTTTCAGCATAAGAAACAATACCAAAAGATGCTGTATCCCCCTTACTCAGAATTGCATCTTACTATAGTTTCACATCTTGCAAAACCATAGTATAATATCACAACCAAGATATTGATATCGAAATAGTTAAGATACAGAACATTTCTATCACCACGGGATCCCTCAGGTTGTGCTCCATAGCCATACCCACCTCCCTGCCTTTCCCACCTCACCTTAATACCTGGCAACTACTAATCTGCTCTCTATTTCCATGATTTTGCCTTTTCAAAAGGCAAAATTTTATCAACAGAATTATACTGTATGTGACCTTTGGGATTGACTATTTTTAGTCAGTATAATTCTCTGAAGATTCATCCAGAGTGTTACATGTATCAGTAGTTCACTCATTGTTATTGCTAAGTAGTATTCCATGGTATGAATGCACCACAATTTTTTCAACCATTGACTTATTGAAGGATATTCAAGTTGTTTTCATTTACGGATGTTATGCATAAAGCCACCATAAACATTCATGTACAGATTTTTGTACAAACATGTCTTCATTTCTCTGGGATAAATGCCCAGGGGTGAAATTGTTGGGCTGTATGTTAACTGCATGTTCAGTTTTAAGAAACTACAAAACCATTTTCCAGAGCGATTGTAGCATGTTACATTCCCACTCACAATGTATAAATGATCCTGTTTCCCTACTTCCTTGCTAGCATTTGGAGTTGTCACTCTTTTTTATTTTAGCCATTCTGATAGGTCTGTAGTGAGGTCTCATTGTAGTTTTAGTTTGTATTTCCCCAGTAGTTAATGGTGTTGAGCATCTTTTCATGTGCTTCTTTGCCATTTGTATGTCCTCTTTGGTGATATGTCTCTTTATGTCATTTGCCCATTTTCAAATGGGATGGTTTGTTTTTTTACTATTGAGTTTTAAGAAGCTTTTAAAAAATATATTCAAGATACAAGTCCCTAGTCAAATAGATGGTTTACAAATATTTTCTTCTAGTCTGTAACTTATCTTTAAGCCCTTCGAACAGGGACTTCTGTGGAACAAAAATTTTTAATTTCATGAAGTCCAGTTTATCAAGGTTTTCCTTTTACGGATTATGTTTTCTGTGTCAAGTCTAAGAATCTGACTAGCCAGCTCTAGGTTTCAAAGATTACCTCCTGTTTTTTTTCTCAAAGCTTTTTATACTTTACATTTGAAATCAATTTCTGTAATACTTATAGAGCTATTCAAATTATCTATGTCATATTAAGTGTATAGTCTTTTTTTTTGAGAAAGAGGGTCCATTTCTTCTAAATTGTCAAATTTCTGTGTGCACAGTTATTTGTGGTATTTCTTTTTTACCTTTATAACGTCTTCAGGATCTATACCAAATTGCCAAATTGCCATTGTTCATGCATAATATTGCTGATTTGTGTCTTCTTTTTTTTTTTTTATCAGTATTCTTAGAGGTTTGTCACTTGTATTGATGTTTCCAAAGAACTAGCTCTGTATTGTTGATTGTCTTTATTTTTTTGTTTTGTTTTGTTTTCAAGTCTATTTATTTCTGCTCTTTATTATCTCCTTCCTACTGCTTCTTTTGGGTTTATTTTGCTGTTTTCTAGGTTTTTTAGATGAATGATGAGATTATTTGAGAATTTTTCTCTTTTCAAATGTATGCCATAAATGTTCCTCTCAGAACTGTTTTAGTTGTGTCTAAACTGTTCTGACCAAAGTAGGGTCCCACAGACTAAAGCACTATTTGAATAGCTCAGTATGGCATAATTTGGAAGGCACCAGTTAAAACCATGGACTCTGGTGTCAGACTGCCAGGTTCGAGTACTGGCTTCACTCTTCAGATGCTTTGGGCAAATTACTTAGGCTCTCTAAGCCTTGATTTCATTGTCTGTACAATAGGGCTTATATAGCATCTATATCAGGATTAAATGATAAATTCCACCTAAAGAACACAAACACATACTGTCATTAAAATGTAAACATTCAATAAATGTCTTTATGCCAGACAAATTAAATCCTCTGAAACAGAACTGCTATATGGTCTATAACTAAATTATAAATTAATATCAACATCAAAACTGCATTATATTCTGTTTCTCTCTTCTTTTCCTATGTCTTCATTTGACACAGTTCCTAAAGGTTGCCTTTTAAAGTAACATCAGTCCTTCCTTCCCTCCTCAGGGAATCTTGATCTCTACCCCTCTCATTTTCCCTATAAAATCACTTGAAATCAAAACAAGCAGAAACTGTTTTTGAAAACATCTGAGGAATCTTACTGAAGATTCTCTGTGTAAAGTTATTCCTGTATATAAGTTTAGCTCACTGTTTCTGCAAGAAAATAAATGTAAGAGAAAAGACAGTTTCAAAATTACTGCACAGTAATTAACTATGGACTTTGCGATGTAAACTCCTATGTCTCCCAAGAAGATACTGAACAAGGTTAAGTCTTATCTCTAAAGACATTACTTTTAAATAAATTGAAAACCAACTGAATTATTCCAATTTTAATAACTTACCCATCAAGCTCAGCAGTTTCAACATAACAGAGACCATGTGGCTCACTACTTGATAGGAGAAGTAAATCAGCCTATTTTCAAAAATCATAACAAAATAATACTTGAGAAGTTAGATTGGTTGAAAGTCTTCTACAGTATATCACCTCTTGATTACTAATGAGCCAACAGAGCCTTAGAAACAAAGTAAAAGAAGTGAGATCCTGTTCTACCTCTATGTCATATGCCCTGAACCAAACCCTCCCTCTTCCCTGTTCGTCCTTTATATGCCCCTTGACTATCACAACATAAACAAGGGAAGGAGCTGTCCTATGAATTAATAACCACTTGATTCACCTTTTTTGAATGAAACATATAAATTCTATTTTCTTGCTTTGATAATTACTAACATAAAACTCTCTCCAATAAATAATTGGAAATATATGCACAAACTTTAATTACCTAGTGTCATCAGTTAAAAACAGGGAGCAGACAAAGGAGATGGGGACAAAACAGAAGGGAAATAGATGGAGGAAACTAAAAAAATAAAATAAAAATAAGAGAGGCAAGGAAGTTAAGAAAGAGATAAAGATGGTAAGAAAAAAGTAAAAGATGGTAGGAAGTAAGAAAGGAGAGCTAAGATAAAGTAGGGACTAAGGAAGAGAGCAAGACAGAAGAGAAAATGTAGTTAAAGGCAGTGGGAAGAAATCAGAGACTGAGTAGTTTGGGTTTTTCAGAGATAATCAGTTCTATTCTGATGTCCAGTTGAGCTTTGCGAATCACCTATCACAATTCAGTTTTAGAATCCTGGTAGCTCTCTAAATTGGTAAAGTGCTTATCGATTTCATTTCAAATTTCTAAACTTATTTTAAAAATAAGTATTTTTATAAAATTTTGAAGAGTCCGAATATCTAAAAAGAATTGGCTTAAATTTTAGCAATTTAGTTTGAAACATTAGCCTAACAATTTTCTAGCTATGTCTGAATCTATGATTGGCATTCCAAATCTGTGAAATTTTCTTACCTTTGTTTTTTAAAACATTAGAATTGCTTTGTTCTTGAGTCTTGGGGGTTAAATTTAGAATCAATTTACTTTCTTGAGTCTCAAGCTTTTAAATTTGCAACTCAAAAATAGGGTGTGTGTGCGTGTGCGTGTGTGTGTGTGTGTGTGTGTGTGTGTGTGGTTTTGTCCAAATTGGGATTGGAATAAAACAGAGCTGGGGAAAAATGCCCTGTGACAGCCCCTAAAGGAATAAGTGGGTTTGCATTACCAAGGCTCTTACACAACTCTGAATCAAAGAGCCACAGAAGCTTGTTGAGGCAGAAATCTTCTGACTTGTCACACTGTGAACAGAGCAAAGCCACATAAAGAAAGTGATGTCGCTCTTGGACCAAAAACTACCCATCCTGATTTTAAAGGGAAAAAAAAGTTTTCTGAAAATTCACCTTGATCTTACTTCCCACATTTAAATTTCAATGCATAAGAGCAGGCACAAGGCACTAAACAGGAAAAGAGCTCAATAGTCAGTCTGTGGGCCTGCGCCTCTCCTCCCCTGAGCTTAAAAGGCTCATTTGAAACAAAATCCAAAATTCTCTAATCCTAAGAATCTGTGACTGAATACAGTTATGAAGTATAGAGAAAGATGCCTATTTGTACCCAGGGCTGCTTTTCTTTGAAACTCGAATCCAGTGTTACTGTTGAAGGCTGGGCAGGGCTGCATTGACACTCACACCATGGTAAACAAGGGGAGGAGTCCCTGCACACAGCTGGCTAGGAACATGTGACTGAGGCGCCACTGCCATCTGGCGGTCAGATTCTCTCCTGAGCAGTGACCCAGCTTCCCACAGGCTGACCCCCACAGGTTCCAGGCTAACTGTTCCTGCTCACTGTACTCTCTGGGACCGAGACACCTACCTTCCCCACCTCCGCCCATCTCCCCAGTTACCACCTTTCTCTTTGATGTTCTGTGAACCTTCCTCCGGCTTTCCTACTCCGTGATCGCCATGCTGCACTCCCTTCATCTATCCTCCCTTCTCCCTGTCCCTCTGCTGAGGCCTGCTGTTCCCTTTTGTTAACCTCATCCTTCAAGGCATTAATTCATTGTGGTTGAGGAGGGAGTATGAAGGGAAGGCCCAGGGGGGCCAGGAGGATAAGCGGTCAATGTGCTCATCGTCATGCAGGCAGGCCTATTTTCTAGTGCACTCAGTCATAATTGTGAAAAGGAAAGGGCAGGAGAGCTGCAGAAAAAGCCCTGCTCATCCCTCGTCACCCCTTTCCAGAGGTGCTGTGCCAGGGGTGGAGCAACACATGGATTTCGGGGCCCACCTTCCCCAGGACTCTGAGTCTCACAGCAGGCCTCCTCAAACTGACTCCTCCAGTAAATCCTACAGGGACCCAATTCCTAGTTGATCCAGAAACTTGTGTTCCAGATGTAGGTGTTTATGATTCCAAATAATGTAGCTGATATTTAGTGAGGGTTTACTATGTGTCCAGCACCATCCTAAGAGCTTCACAAGTGCTATTTTATTTAACGTTCACAGAAATCCTATAGCGCAGGTCCTATTGTTATCTCCACTTTACAGATGAGCAAAGGCCCAGAGGGGTTCTGTAACTTCCTCAAGGTCACACAGTAAGTGGAGGAGCCAGGATTTGAATCTGGGCAGTATGAGGCATATACTGCAAGGGATACCAAAATGATTCAAAACCTCTTTGCTTCAAGGATTTGTATAGTTTAATAAAGGCAGAATATAAGGGTTCTAAGAGCCTTATTAACAAAGTGCTATGAAGGGAGTGCAAATGAGAGTGCAACATTGGATTGCTAGTTGAGGAAGGGCATCATGGAAGATTCTAGATGCAGTGAAAGGAGGTCCCCAAGGCAGAATGACTAACAGGAGTAAAGAAGTGGAAAGGAAAAGTATGAATATCCAAACTCACAGGTGGGCCAGGATATCATTAATTCCATTCAGAACCACCTATTATATGCCCCATATTTACTTTCTTTTGTGAATTATTAGTGCCTTTTCTCCTTGCTCTGCCAGGAGAGGCTCTGCTATGTCCTCCATGAAGGAACCAGTGTTTTCCAATACAACGCCCCTTCCCCAGCTTCCATGGGCAACAGAAAACAAATATTCCCATTAGAGGGAACCTGAAAAGAATGCACTGAACATATTTGGGTCCTCAGAGCGAAAGGCATTGTCCTCATAGGTTTATTAGTCATAATTAATGTTTGTTGAGTTAAAGAATAAAGTAAAATGTAAAGCAACGATAACACCTTAAAGCTATACAATTATTTAAAGATTTATAAAACCCTCTCTCATAATTGTGTCATTTTACTCTCTTAACCCTGTGAGTAGTATTCTTCCCATTGTATGGATGAGGAACCAGGGAGGTCATATCTGGCCCAGGAGTGAGGGAGGAATAGACTCTACCACACCCACCAGAAGAACTAAATTAACTCATGTAAAGCCCATGGCCCTTCCAAAGTCATTGAGGAACCCAAGGGCCCAAGAGACTTAACGCAATCCTCATGGACACGCATAGCTTAAATTGCAGAGCTGGAACTAGAATTCAGAACTTCTGATCCCAAAATGTATGCTCTTTTCCTCTGGTGGGCTACTAAATCACTGGAACACAAAACTATGAAAAACAGAAAGTATTTCACTTTGTTTTATGCTTTGTTTTGCTTTGCTGGCGTTCAAAAATCAAAACCACAATGGTGAAAGAATATTTGGATTGTGGTTCCATGACCTGATGGAAAGATAAATTTGTAGAATTAAGTTGAACACTTTTGGATCTCGTTTTATTTTTTAGGCCATTCTCACACATAGAGTTATTTATCTTCTCTATCATCTACAACATTATCTTTTATTATAATCCAAAAATAAAAATAAAAAACAAAATAGCTCATGTATTGAGTCAAAAAAATGAGAATGAGATTCTAAAAATGAACTTTGTATGGTGATAGGTAACTTTTGTATTTAAAGTTTAAATTTCAGGTCCAATAAATGCGTATTGGTTACTAATATGTACTAGATATATCATTGTTTTTCTAATTACAGTGATTTGAGAAGAATAAGAAAAAGATGGTGATAAAGAAGAGAAGGAAGTGTGAGAATAATAATGGACATCATAAAATTTATTAACAGGCAGGCTGTTCCTCTGGTCAAAAAAAATCCTTGCCTGAATATTTTACCCCCACTTTCTACTGTCATATAAATATGACAATTAGATATAGATCAGAGAGAGAGACACACACACAGAAAGAGATGGAAAGATAGAGATGGTTTATTTACAGCAAATAGGTTGGAACAACAAGTAACTGACTTGAAGCTGTAAAACTTAAAAGAGCAATGAGAGCAATGAGACCACAAAAAAAAAAAAAAGGGGGGGGGGGGCCTCTCTGAAAGTGCGTCCAAGAAAGGTGCTGAAAAAGAATAGATGAAATTCCCTGATGAGTCAAGAAAGAGCAAAAGCCCACTCCAGTCACACCTGGAGTTTAGGTCAAATTAATCTTTCTAGCCCTATCATTTCCAAAGGGTAAAACTGTCCATTCCTGTATCAGAAGAATGCCTTGGTTTTAAAACAATTCTATGAATGCCTTTTTGTGGAGGGAAAGGAAGGACTTTTCAAACAAGCTAAACAACTCAATTCTGGTAATATATATATACTCAATTCAAATATATATATACTCAATTCAAATATACTCATGCCCAGTAAGGATTTTATTTCTACCACCAGCTAAGAAAAGTGAAACAACACAAGAGCACTGCTGTCAAGTGAAGGAGAAAGGTACACCTGGCTTCCATGGTCCGAGTTCCGGTGGTATCAGGAATTCTGCAGTATGTTTTTCTAACAAAATGTATTTGGTTCTTCTAATGCCAGTCAAACTCCTTGTGGTATCTGAATTATACTCTGCATTTTTCCTGGTCACCCCAAAAAACTAGGAATTCTGGCAATTTAGCCCAAAAGTATTCTTGAATTTTAAAATGTATATACAAATGCAAAACAAGGGGGTTCGCTACATTAAAAAAAAAAAAAAGGTAAGTAACTTCTGAATATGCCAGCTAATTGGCAATCTCTGGTGAGTTCTTTTTCCTTGCTTAAAAGTTTACTGATGAACTGACATAAATCAGGTTGCAAATTCTAAGTTTGAACAGCCAGAAGTTATATATCTGCATTGGGCACAACATATTTTCTGATCACTTGGCTTCCAGCATCCAAGCCCAGAGCCCCTAACGCTGGTAGCCCAGACTCAAGTCAATGAGGATGACTTTTCCAATGCAGTCAGGAACAGCAAATGGTAGTGGTTAGAAGTGGGGGCACTTGAGCTAGATTACATAGACTTAACTCCTGAATGTCCCACTAGCAAACTATTTGATGGCACTGTGCCTCTGTTTTCTCATCTGTAAAGTGAGAGCAATAAGGATACTATATAACCTGCCCTTACTGAGCTAATGTGAGGATTAAATGAGTTAATCACAGAAAGTCCCTGTTAATATTGTCTGGCATGTGACGCATGGTCAATAAATGCTAGTATTGTTTTCATGACCTTCATGACCTGGTTTCCCCCAAAATCCACCTCAGTATAACTCCTAAGTGGGTCTCTTTCAGGGTCCCATAAGTTTTGCCCCCCAAATACAAGCTCTCTGAAGCCCCTGCCAGCTCATACCAGAGTGCAGGGAGATATATTAGTACTCCTAAGTGATTCCAGTGGTTCACCTAAAAAAAATTTTCTTGCCCTTGAAAATGGTTTTGTAGGTGCTGAGTAGGTAGTCATGGGAAAACTTTGAACAAAATTATCTAATCAAGAGGTGATGTGAGGTGGTTTTGAAGGACTCCCATCCTCAATTATTCAAAGATTAGGCCAACAGAACTACATTTGTAGGGGTCAAACAGAGAACAATGGAGATAAAAATATCATCTTTTTTTGATAAAGCTGTTATTATTGATAAAGACCAGGCTTTAGGTCTGTGGCCCAAATGGGCTTCACCCCTATCAGACAAACGTATCAAACCACAGATGCTGGAAGCTCTAAGTTTCCCTGGCCCTCCCACTACCCCCACCACAGGGATTTGTTTCTATAACATTGATGGCACGGAAGAGCAGAGCAGAACGGACTCTCTGCACACAGGTGCAGCTCAAAAAGAATAAGAATTAAGGAAGCATCACCTAGGTCATGTGTACCACTCCCAGCTCCCAAACTCACCAATCCGAGAAGTCACTCCTAGGAGAGAGGAGAGAGCAAGTGGATGAAAGACACTTAAAGTGTTATTTTGGTGCCGTCCCTCCAAATGAAAACAGGAGGAAGAGTGGAAAATAAGCATTCTCACCCCATCATGGGAACCACCATAAAAGGCTACATCTGTGTGTCTAATACAGTAGCCACAAATCACACGTAGCTATTTAAATCTAAATTAATTAAAATTCAATATTCTGCTCTTCAATTGCACTTGTGCTTGCCTTCTGTATTTCATTTCATTGATGCTTTTGCAATAGCAAGTAAGCATACATGCCATAATATAGAAAATATAACTAAATTAAAAACAAAGTCCAAGGAAAATACAAATTCAAATATAAAGGCTAGAGTGCCGATTGGAGCCTAGATATGCTGGCCATGAGGCACCACAGAGTTAAAAGCTTTGAGACATAGATTTGACTGCTTCTTTTCTGGACCCACTCCTAAAAATGTGAGAAATGAGCAGACTGAGTCCAGTCTGATGTTCCCCCTTGTTAGAGCACATTCATGGAGCTCCTAGGACTCATTGTTTTCACTGAATACCGGAAGTAAAAAACATACCTAGCATTGCCCCTGAAATATTCAGTCCCAAATAATATGATAGTTAAGTGTGTGGCATATATAGGTTTATGCTAATTCCTCTCTATTATGACACTATCTAGCTAAAGTCATTGCCAAAAACATTTGAATGCACACATCTTAGAATTCCACATGTCCCTTTTTTATAAGTTAAGGTTATCCACTTAGAAGCACCAAAACTCTTTCATTGTAATCATTTTAACTGAGAGTAGAACTCAAATGAGTTGCCTGGAGCCCTTTCTTCTTAGACAAAGAATCCTGAATATACGCAATCTTTAATTAGGGGAGATACTGTTTACTGGTATCCCACTGACCCAGAACATCTGAATTTTTGTAAATTTATATGCACTTTTCTTTTTTTTTTTTTCCTGTCTTCTTTCTTACAAAGATCAATACTTATTTATTTAGCCAACATTTACCAAATGCCCCTGATGATGGAACATGGTACCAAGTGTTGGAAAACAGGCAAATCAATATGCGCTTTGCCTGCAAGAATCATATAGTCTGGTGTCAGCTTACACAGAGAATCACAGAATGGAAGGGAGTTTTGAGATCCTGTAGGGCTCTAGCTTCTTATTTGACACATGGACAAATCAAAGACAAAGAAGATAAAGTCTTTGCTGTCACTGAAGGAATAGAGCAAAGCCTCAGTTCTCACCCAGTTCCCCATCTAGTGCCCTTACACTGGATCTACCTTGATTCCACACACACAGTATGTTCTAACAGACACCACCTTCCAGGGTATTATTTCTAATCTTTAATGAGCTGAAAAACAAGATGGACAAGCAAATTTAAATTGTGGCTTAAATAAAAGTAAATAGATTGCGAGTGAGAACCTGGCAAACTGTTCTACTTATGAGGAGCTTAACCCAGAGTGGACTTTGAGACCTCTGTTTTGGCTGTCGACACCTTTTTGTTTATTTTTGGTTCCCAACTATTTTCCAAAGCACTGCGGTTACCAGAGAAATAAGCACTTCTCTACTTAAAGTGTGAACTCTTTTGTGAATGACCAGTCTACTGAGTAGTCTCCTTAGTGTGGGCTGTTCTGGAGAATTCAGTATACACAGATGGTGCATTAATGAAAGAAGACTGCTTCTGAAAGTGAATGTTTAGGAGTCTTAACTGAGTTGTCTTGTAAATAACTCTTGGGGCCATATTTTTTTCCCTGTGGTAAAATGTTTCAAGTTGATACACAAAATAGCACTCAACACAAAAAATTTCATATGTAATCTAATATATATTTGACATAAACGATAACTTGAATTTTTAATCTCTGATCTCAATAATTTTTATTACCTTAAATTTAATTTGAACTATAGTTAGTTGCATATATTTTAGTGATTAGACTAATCCCTTGAATTTTATTAAGGAAAGTAGAGGCCACTTGAGTATATAAATTATAGTATATTTGATAAAGTAAAATCTCATTAATTAACATGTTATTAATTCAGCACAATCAATACACATTTTCTAATTTTTAAGGAAGAAACATATCTTTTCTCTTTCTCTAGCTTATGTTTGTTTCAAATATACTGTAAATTAACAATACTAATCAGGATATTAACAGTACTAATCACAAAATATGTGAGAACAGACTTTTTAAAGTACTCAGGAGCATTTTAAAAACTCTTATTTACATCAAATATTGGTTTTCTAATTTAAAATCTGTTGTTCCTATTAACTTAAAAGATCCCTAGGGAAATACACAAGGTGATACTCACTCAACCTTATGTGAGTTACCATGTTATTGAAACTAATAAATCAATGTCTTTTAAAATATTTTATAATTGTGACTTTTTACTAATACATACTGAAGATAATTATTCTAGATTAGCAAGGATTTACTAAATTTGCAAATGTAAATACTTCCATATATAGGCTACTTTAATCTGCGATAAATTCTTTAAACAATATTGAATACTCACAGCAACAAATTGGTTATTTTCTAATTTAATGATGTCTCCCACTTTGACATTCATCCATTTTTCATTCTGTAGTCTAAAAACAAAACAAAATTAATTTTTTTCAAGAATGAAGACTCAGAAGTACAATCAAGGGAATGTATTCACAATGTAACATCATATAACAGAGGAAGCAGACGAGACTTTCCTAGTATGTTAGATTCAAAATGGCCTTACATTAACATGAGAACAAAGGCCCAGAGAGGTTAAGTGGTTGCCCAAAGATACCCAGTGAGTTATTGGTACTCCTGGGCTAAACTCAACATGCTAAACTCTTGGCTGAGCACGCTTTCCACCACCCACATGGTGCCAGTTTTATGCAGCAGCTATGAAATCTCAATAAATTTTAGTCATCGACATTCTTTTCAAACTCTTTATTAATACAGAAACATCATTGCCATTGCCTCAGAAGTCTATTTAACTGGAGGCAAGAAAGTGAAGGAGACAGTGGCAAGGTAGAGCAACAGCTAAAATGCAACAGGAAAAATATGTTAAAGTCTGGAAAGGACAAGAACAACAAAGCATGATAAAAGAAGCCTTGGAAGACTGAATGAGAAGGACCACCTACAAACCAGCACTGAGGCTGAAGGACAGGCTTGGTGGTATTCTAACAGGACAGCAGCTCAGAATAGAGAACAACACAGTCAACCTACTGCACTGCTTTCTGTGCAGCTCATATATACGATGGAGCCCCAAGCCCACCCTCCACCCAGTTCAAAGGGGTTTATTATGAAAAGCTATTGTGTCCATTGAATCTGGCCCCTGGTGACAACTTAGTCAGGGCTGCCCAAAACCAGACAGGCCCTCTGGATACAGACCACCTGGGTCAGTATACCATGATGCTGATCATTCCTTCTGAAATTCCCTGAAATGTAAACCAGCTTTGTTTTCTAACTTGGAAGTTTTCATCACATTTCTTTCTCAGAGATTCCCTTCTAAGAGAAAAGGTTGGGATGAGTAGAGCAAGTTTGCCCAACAAGTTGAGGTGGACAGGTTAATTTCATTGTACTTTAAAAAAAAATTAACCTAATTTACTTGTTTTATAGCCTGGAAAATAGTTTTAAATATTTATTCAACTGTGAAATATGCCTCACACTATCAACTCTGCTGGATCATTTGGCTTAAACACTCAAAGAATTTTTCTTTAATACAGATCCAAGTACATGTTGTTCTGGAAATTTTTCAATTGCAGTATTTTCATCTCTAGCCAGAATTCAATCATTTTTCCAATGCTACACTTTTCTGAACTTTATCTAGTTTGACAACAATAGAAGAACCTAGGAAGCCTCCTAAATCTCGTTTATCTTTACAGGTATGAATTACATGCTGGTTAATTTCTCCTACAGACACCTCCTCTGGCACCTTAGTGACACTTCTCAGCAAACAGTATCTCAGAAAAAATAGGCATGAGTGGATGGAGAAGGCTATTGTGTCATTTTTGGAAACTGCACTGCTACCAAATTGCCTTGAAGTCTCTATTGAAAGTGCACCTGCCTCAGGAAGAAGTTGAGATGATATTGCATTTTATTTCCAAACTCTTATTCTTCCAACTTGTATAGTACAAGCTCTAGGAAGGATCATACAAGAAACAGTAGGCAGTAGTCCTGGATATTGACGCTGAGCCTAGCACAATCCAAACTACTTCATCAATAACCTGTACAATGGACAATTGGACACACTTTTCAGATTTGTGGACAGCACCCTAACAAGAAGAAAGCACAGCCCACACAAAGTAAGATCATGATAGGAAAGTGTCTTATGACTTGACAAAGTTATCAGAAACTGAACAAAGAGTAAGAAAAAGAAGTACAAAATAGATTTTTTTAAAGAGGAGAAAGTAACACTCTACAAATGTAACTAGAGTTTACAGAAAAAGAGCCTGGAGATATTGGTAAGCCACAGGCTGTGTGAGATGCCTTGCTTAACCTCTGACTTGAATATATCCCTGTAGAACAATCAGTATGTACAATACAATCAGAGGAGTTTTTATGTTATTCCCTATTCTATCTTATTAAATATTGATATATGTAACTATACTTAACTGGGAACTCAGAGATACATTTAATGAGCACTAAGGGTCATAGCAACAGAAGTACCCAAACTTACTGAATAAGCATAAACTGATAAAGACCTGTAAACAAATTTAAATAATCTATATTTTGAATCCAACCATTTTTCTTGTCCTACCTACAACCACCACCACTGACAACAATATATAAAAAATGTTCCAGCAGCACTGGAGGGGCAGGCAAAATTATTTGCTTTAAAACTCATCTTCAGAATATTTCTAGACTTCTAAAATTTTAGCCTGTATGGTGATTGGGTTTTGTCACCAACTTGAAACATGAAAGCAGACACTCCCTGGCTCTACATGTGTGATACAGCTGTTCTCAGGGTTCGTGTTTAAAGCAATCTTGCACCACAGCTCTTCTAGAAGGACATAGGATGGCCTTTTGGGTTGTGAAGGTGATACTGGCTCCACAGACTCAGCACCTTCAAACTTTGCTTTTGCAATTGTCAAAAGGTAAAAGCTCCTGTAGATGAATTGCAGTATATGAATATTCTGCAAAGAAAGGAGAAGTTGTAAGATTTTAAAATGTGGCTCAAATTTCAGCATCATATAATTATTTCAGAGTATAAAACTGACATAATCTAGTTAATGCGTCTTAGAATCAGGTTTTTTTAAAAAATACATATGGGATACTGAGATAGACTTTACCTTAGCAAACTCACAAGCCAATTGCTAAATAAGCCAAAATCCAAGTAAAAAATTCAAAAATTTAAATTCCAAAGGCACCATAAAACATATGGAGTTTAACTGCCACAGAACAGCAACTAGAATTATTTGAAGCAATTTTTAAAAAAATATACCACTATACATCTACTCTCAGAACTCTGAGTTCTAAGAAAAGGAGGTAAGAGATAGCAACTGCAACTAATAATTTTTGATAAACTGGTCTGTACCTGCTTCTTCCTGATGAGGCATAGCAAGGTAAGAGCTGCTAGACTTTGCTGAAAATCTCCTTGAGAAAATGAAAGTCTGAGAGTGAGGCAGCACCTACCATGCTCCATGTCACTAGACCATTGCTTTCAGAAGCTGAAAATCAAGTGTTGACCTTAAGCAACACTTTTGGAAGCAATATTGCAAGTGTATTGCTAAAGCTTAAGAAACAAGAGGGGATTTTCAATGGGTTCATCAAGGTCATCCTTTCCATGTTCTAATGTTCCTGATTTCCCACCAGCAACATGGATTCCTGAAAAGGGGATTTCCTCACAAGCTACAGAAGTGTTGGGGTACTAGAGACAGAAGATAATAAAGGTCAATATAATTGACCTCCCCTAATTAACCAATCAATCCACTTACGCTGAGCTTGGTTTCTTCTTTAATCTCAAGCATATGTCGGCCCTATAACATTCAAAAGTATTCCCTTGCTGATAAACTTTGTTTTGTTCACCACTTCATCCTGAGGACTTCATCCTGAGGACAATGCCTAGTTCACAGCAGGCACTCAGTAAGTATGTAGTGAATGAATGATAAATAAACTGAGGAGTATAGAATCATCATTTCCAAAACATTTGTTGAATGATAGCATTTGCCTGAATGCCTAAAAAAAATTATAGCATCCAACATTTATTTAGTGCTTACTGCATTCCAGGGACGGTACTGATCCCTTCATGTATAAGGTGCCAAATAAAATAAATAGCACCTCATTAAATTTGAATTTCAGATAAACAACAAATTATTTTTAGTATATATTCCATGTAATATTTGGGACACATTTATACAAAAACATTATTATTGTTTACCTGAAATCCAAATTTAAATAGAGTCTTTTATTTTAATTTGCTACATCTGGCAACACTATTCATGTATCTTATCTCATTTAATCCTCACAACAGTCCTAGAGATAGGTATTGTTTTGACTCCCATTTTATAGAATAGGACACTGAGGTTCATGCAATCTTTGCCTTATTTTGCAGTATCTATCAAAAGTTTAAATAACCACACACTTTGAAAACTGATCCTACAGGTACTCAAATATGAATGTACCAGGATATTTACTGCAGCATTATTTGTAACAGAAATTGATTAGAAGCCACGAAAATGTCCATCAAGAGGAATTAGATAGATGTACCATGAAACACTTATTTAATCATGGTTCATTCACTCAATGGAATATAGTGCAGCCACTGAAAAGAATAAGGTAGGTCTATATGTGCTAATATGAAATATGCTGTTAGTTACATTATTAGGTAATGTAAAAAGAAGTAAGTGCATATAGGATATATTATACATGTTTATAGGCATAGAAAATTTCTTGAAACATACACAAGAAACTACTGTGGTTGACAATAGAGAAATAAAACGAAGAGAGAAATTGGGGTGGAAGAGAGACTTCATTTCCATTTTATGCTCTTTTGTACTGTTTAAATTTTTTGGCATTACACATATTAGTATTTTAATGGCCAACTGGAAGGAAGAATAGAAAAAGAAGAAGTAATAGAAGAAAACTTTGCCAAGGTCACATATAAGTGGCAGGTCTAGGACCAGAACCCAAGTTTGTCTGGCTACAAAGCTCATGCTCTTAATAAATCTATATTTATTGTTCCTGTTTACTTTATTTCCCAGAGTAATTATGTATTAGCTATATAGAAAAAGATTGGACCCTAAGGAGCTGAAAGGACCCAATCACGGCAACAGTGCACACTCCTGGCATTTAAAACCAATTGATCCAAAGACAGCTTACAATCATGATCCCCTGACACAAACACTCAGTGGACAGCAGCAGTTTCTGGTTCTTTTCAATCCCAGCACCATCAGAGCTGCGCTAGAGGAAAACAGACAGCTTGGCCCTAATCCCCTAATAACAGACTGGTGAACAGGATCTCATTACACTGAGAATGAACATAATGCTCATGTCTTTGGAATCTATTTATTTTAAAGAATGCAGATGTTTCCCCTTTTTCTCCCTTCATTTTAGCAAAATGCTTATGCTGAGGCAAAAATCACACAGGGAGGTCTCTGGTCAGCTGCTG